GCTAATTTAGTTAAAAAGAACAATTGTATTTTTTTTAACAGTTCATGTTATTAGATAACTAATTTATAAAGTCAGACTATTGATGTGACTTGTTAGGGAAACCATTTCTTCATGCTGTCACATGTCACCCCAGTAAAAGAGGGGGGATGGGATTATGCCAGGTGTCAGAACATTATTCATTTTATTCACAGCGGTGTATAGAAGAAAGTGTTAGGACAGACCTTGTAAGGCAGGAAACTTGTGTTGATGTTTTGACATCCTGGTTTAAGTGTAGCCCCAGGGTACGTTGTTCCACACACACCCACCACCTCACCTAACCTCCCCATCAGTTTCTGTCTGCCTTTCTCACCAGTCAACCCTGAGATGCCCCAAATTGTTGCCATTTGACTATGTACAATGGGGAAGATATGGAAGATACCAAGTCCCCTCACTCCAGCTTTCACCTTTGGGATTAAACAGCCTGGAGCAGGGAAAGTAAACTGTGATCAAAACCAAGTGAGAAACTTTAAAGAAGCTTTGACATGAACATTAAGAATGACATCCACGCTCTGGCCGGTTTGGCTCAGCGGTTAGAGCTTGGCCTGTGGACAAGAGAATCCCGGGTTCGGTTCCCACTGAGAGCACGTACCTCGGTTACAGTTTGTCCCCGTCCCCAGTTGAGGTTGTGTGGGTGGCAGCCAGTCAATGTGTCTCTCTCACATCGATGTTTCTCTTTCTCTCTTTCCCCCTTCTGCTCTATCCGAAGATAAATGCAAAAATGTCCTTGGGTAAGGATTAAAAAACAAAAAAAGAATAACATCCTCCCAGCTGGTGTGGCTCAGTGGATTGAGTGTTAACCATGGACCAAGAGGTCACCCATTTGATTCCCTGTTAGGGCACATGCCTGAGTTGCGGGCTCAATCCCCAGTAGGGGGTGTGCAGAAGGCAGTGAATGGATGCCTTCTTTCTCACATTGGTGTTTCTCTCTCTCTCTTCCCTCCTTTCTCTTCTCTCTCTAAAAAAATAAATCAAACATATTAAAAACAACAAAAAAAGAATAACATCTGACTGAAACTTGAGGAAAAAAGGGCAACCAGGGAAAAGAAAGTAAAGTCTTAGCAGATGTTCTGAAACTGCCCGTAAGAAAGGGCTGGGGACTGATCCTCTGAGAGCTTTGGACTCAGTATGGCTCTGGTTGGTCCAGTCTTCACCTGCCGAGCTGGATGACCTGGGGGCTCCCTGGCAAGCATATTGCAGTCTGTCTGACTCCATCTTCATCAAGAGTCCTTCAGTTCCATCACAGAGAACTGCCCGGTATGTTGCAGTTATCTATAAAGCACTTCAATTCAAGTAAGTGCTTGGCAAGTTGACTCTTCTGACAGGATGTCAATGAGGGCCTTGCGCACACCCTCACAAGGGGTGCTGGTGTTTTAGAGATCTAGCAGGTAGGGGCAGAAATTCTTGCTCATTAGGAATGGGGGTGCCAGCCTTCACCTTGAAATGGGATCTGGACGTGGATGGCATCCAGAGCTTTCAGCCTGTTCAGGTAGTTGCACTCTGATTTCCTGGGTTTCCAGCTATAACAGTCTTGCGCCATCCTCCGCGAGGAGCTAGGGTCCATACTTGATAGATTGAAGCCTAAATAGTCGAGTATCAGTCTCCTCTTTCAAGTCTTTGGGGCATGTGTCCCACAGAGACATGAAGTCTCCTTCAAGATTTCATTGAAAAGCAATGATTTGCTTCTTCACAAAAATAACTAGCAGTACAAAGACCAGGCTGCCGTCAACCTTTGCAAGCATCACAGTCACCATGAACCACCAGTTACTGCCAGACACCAGGGCTTTCCCACCCTGTGCAGAACGTCATGGGTTTCACCAGCAATTTTCAACCATTTTCAACTTGTGGCACATGTAAACTAATTACTAACATTTTGCAGCACACCAAAAAATATGTTTTATTTTTTTGCTGATCTGACAAAAAAAAAATAGGTACAATTTTTATTCATTCACATCAGATGGATATTGTTGTGTTGGCTGTTATTTTATTTGATAGTCTAAGAGAAGAGAGGTAGGTGCCCCTTTTACTAAATAGTCAGGTGTTGCATGTTTTTAGAATTCTTGTGGTGCACCAGTGTGCATGCTGCCGCACACCAGCTGGAAATCCTGGTTACGCCATTGCCCTGCATTGTGTGCCCAGATTCCCTGGAGCTCCATAGCCATTTCCTTATGGGGAACGTCCAAGCCAGACCTGGCCTGAAAACATGGCTTTGTAGGCGGGTCTGTTGTGTTTTAATTAAAAATCTGTTAAATGTACAGATTAGTTTCAGAGTGTTTGGCAACTTGATAATATTCAAGATTCCCTTTCCAGGACATGGGATATTGACAGACTTACCAGTTTTTAATTTAATTTTGTATAATCAAAATCCAAACAATTTATGAAGATCTTCAAAATAACCAAGGGTATATTTCACAATTTCCACTACTTTTCTTCCCAGTTAATTAATTCAGTACAAATATTTAAAAAAAATTTTTTTTTTCTTTTTTTTGTTCAGATAGAGTGGGAGGGAGGGAGAGAGAGAGAAACATCGATGTGAAAGGGACACATCGAGTGGCTGCCACCCACACAACCCAACCAGGGCCGGGGACAAACTGCAACCGAGGTACGTGCCCTTATCAGGAACCGAACCCAGGTCTCTCTGGACCGCAGGCCGATGCTCTAACTGCTGAGCCAAACCGGCCAGGGCAAAAATGGTTTTTTTTCTTTATTGATTTTAGGGAGAGGGAGAGAAAGATAGAAAAAGAACATCAGTTGGTCACCTCCTGCATGCCCTGCACTGGGAATCGGGCCCACAACCTGGGCATGTGTCCTGACCAGGAATCAAACCGGTGACCATGGGTCGACGCTCAACTACTGAGCAACACCGGCCGGGCAGAAGATACATTTTTTAAAAAAAACCTTTACTACAACTGGAAATTTGAACACTAGCTAGATGTTTGATAATATTAAGGAATTATTGTATTTTTTTAGGTGCTAACAGTATTTTGTGCAAATAGTATTTTGTTTGAAAAGAATCCTGATCCTTTAGATGTATACACTGTAATATATCTGAGGTTTGCTTCAAAGTTATGTAGGGTAGAAAGCATAGATAAGTATGAAAAAGATTTTTATAAGTTGCTAATTGTTGAAGCTGACAATTATTGGGTTCATTCTATTATTTTGTCTCGATTATGTATGTTTGAAATTTGCCATAATAAAAATTAAAAATATAAATAATTGCAAATCACAATGCCAAAGGAAAGAAAATATAATAATGAAAAGAGAGCTTAAATTACACTTACATTCACAGTGTAAAAACACTCCTAAAGATTGTTGATTCTGTTGTTTCCTGCCCACTTAAAGGTACACATTGGACTGCAAACAAAATTATGATCTAGCCTTTGTTTATATTCTCTGTTTTTTAGTGTCTTCTTTCTTCTGCTTAGACAATGCCAGTTTTCCCTTAAGGACACATTTTTCTTCTGTTCACCTCCTTACATTCAAAATTGTCAGTCATTTACATATACTGAGTACCTAGTTAGCGATGAACTTTTTCTCTAGATTTAATGTACAAGAAAAGAATACTTTGGGAGGGAGTTTAGGGGTTGAAGTCAGGGATTAGATCTGATAAAGTGCTAGGAAATTATTTGATTATTTGGAAAGTTACTGATAGAACTGTGAAAAGTTTATTGGAACATTTAGAAAAAACTTATAGGAGTCCCATAAAAAATTTACCTGTTGATTTTTTTTTTTTTTTTTTAAATGCCAGTGTGGAGATAGCAGAAGGTAAGAGCTTAACCTTCTAGTATTGTAACAGAAATAAATAGATCATATCTAAGAGGGTAAATTAAAAAGTAGCAACATTAGCATATATCCAGATACATAGATGTGATTAAAAGAAACTTCAATGCGAGGTAGTTATTTTTGGAGAGGTGGGATAAGTTGAGAGAGGGGTGGATAGTATGAAACAACTGCTATATTTCATTATAAGCCACTTAGTAATACAATTTGACTTTTAAAAGTGTTATGTTTTATTTAAAATAGAAAATGAATATTAAAAATAAGTGCAATATAAGTAGACTTATTCTAAAGAAACAAGAAAAGTAGTAAAACTAATAAAGTTAATCTGAATAAAATTAAAACTGATATTGAATGAAGTTAGAGGCAGAGTGTACTTCACTTTCTTGCATGTGCATATTCAGTTGTCCCAGTACCATTTGTTGAAAAGACTGTTCTTTCCTCCATTGAATTGTCTTGTCACCCTTGTTAAAAATCAATTGACTATGAATTTATGGATTTATTTCCAGATTCTCATTTAGTTACATGTCTATCTTTATACCAGTCTTGATTTCTGTAGCTCTTTAGTCAGATTTGAAATTAAGTATGGATCTTCCAGCTTTGTTCTTTTCGAAAATTGTTTGGCTATTTTGTGTCCTCTGCATTTCTCATACGAATTTTAGTATCAGCTTATCAATTTCTGCAAAAAAAAAAAAAAAAAAAAAAAAGAAAGGCAGAGGCATCCAAGATTGTGAGAGGGATTGCAGTAAATCTGTGGATCAATTTTGTGTATATTGCTGTTACCATCTTAACAGTTTGTGAATATAGGATATCTTTCTATTATTTAAGTCTTCTTTAATTGTTTCAATGATGTTTTATAGTTTCAGTGTACAAATCTTGCACCTCTTTGGTTACATTATTTCTAATTGTTATAATTTGGATACTGTTGTAAAGGAATGGTTTTCTTAATTTCAATTTCAGGTTGTTCATTGCTGGTGTATAGAAACACAATTGATCTTTGTATTTTGATCTTGTATTCTGTAACCTTGCTGATCTCACGCATTAGTTTTAATAAATTTATTTGTATATTTCTTAGGATTTTATATATACAAAATTATATCATCTGCAAAAAAAACCAGTAATTTTATTTATTCCTTTCCAACCTTGTTGCCTTTTATTTCTTTTTCTTGCCTACCTGCCCCAGCTAGAACCTCCAGTATAGTGCTGAGTAGAAATGGCAAGAGTAGACTTCCTTGCCTCGTGCCTGATCTTATGGGAAAGCATTTAGTCTTTCACAGTGAAATATCATGTAAGCTAAAGGAGATCTATGTGAGGATATTTCCTCTTCTATTTTTAATGTTTTGTGTGTGTTTGTTTTTATCATGAAAGGATATTGGATTTTGTCAAATGCGTGTTTGTGTTTTTTTTTTTTTTTCTGTGTCTATTGAGAGATCATGTGGGTTTTTGTTGTTGTTTTTGTCCTGTTAATACAGTGTATTACATTGATAGATTGCCATATGTTGATGAACCATCCTTGCATTCCTGGGATAAATTGTACTAGTCATTATGTACAATCCTTTTCAATGTTTATGGATCTAGTTTGCTAGTCTTTTATTAAGTATTTCTGCATCTTCATTTATAAAGGGTATTGGCTACAATTTTCTTTTGATGTCTTTGTCTGCATTTGGTATCAGGATCTCATAGAATAGTTGGGAAGTGTTTCCGCCTCTCCTTTTTTGGGGGAAGAGTTTGTGAAGTATTCATTTTAATTCCCTAATGTTTGATAGAATTCACAAATGAACCCATCTCATTCTGGCATTATGAGAAGTTTTTTGATTACTAATTCAATCTATACTTTTTTATAGCTCTATTAAAATGTCATGTTTTTTCTTAAGTATTGTTTTTTTAAAAATTTTTATTGATTTTGGAGACAGAGAGAGAACTGGAAACACTGATGAGAGAGAACCTCGATTGCCTGTCTCCTGCATGTCCCCCACTAGGAATTTGGCCCACAACCTGGGCATGTGCCCTGACTGGGAATCTAACTGGTGACCTCTTGGTGCATGGGTCAACACTCAACCACTGAGACACACCGGCCAGGCCTAAGTAATGTTTTTTTTAACTTGAAGATACAAAGTTAAGTGGAAGATTGTAAGTATGTATAAGGTAGCCTTATAAAGCTCAAATTGCATATAAAAACTTGTCCTGCTACTAATTCTTGGGAATTCAATTTGAAACTTATACTGTTTAACAATTCAGTTTTTAAAAATGGGATTTTTTCAAAAGAGTGTTAATTGTTAATGCCTTTTTATTTGAATTATTTTATAGTCATATTTCATAATAAAGGTTTTTTTAAATTTATTGAGGTGACATTGGTTAATAACATATGTTTCAAGTGTACAGTTCTATGATACATCAGCTTTAATATTGCATTATGTGCTCATCAAAGGGTTTTTTACATTGTTTTTATCTCAGCAGCAATGCAGCAAGTGTTGGATAACCTTACGGAGCTGCCCCCGTCTACAGGAGCAGAAGAAATAGACCTAATTTTCCTGAAGGGAATTATGGAGAATCCTATTGTAAAATCACTTGCTAAGGTATGTTGGTTTATTCATAAGATTACTAAATTATTTTTTAAATTGTTTTTGCAGAGGTCTTTTCAGATATTACTGTTTTAGAACTTAGTCTTAGCAAATAATACTTACTGCATAATGAAATCTCACTGTACATCAGAATTGGACCACTTTGTGCCTTTTCTGTGCTGACTTTAAATATAGGATGAAATAACTCTTAATTTTAGCCTAACACATTTAACGTTTTATGGAAATTGTAACAGAACAGTTATGTTATAATGGCACCTGTGAAAAAGATCCTGGTCCTATCTCCATTTTCAACAACAGCAAGATACTGGTTTTCTTTTTCTTCTTCTTCTTTTTTTTAATTGAATTTATTGGAGTGACATTGGGCAATAAAATTATACAGGTTTCAGGGGCTGATTTTCTTATTTTATTAGATTGTGTACCTGTTTTGGACTTCTTACATTTTTTTTTTTTTTTCATTTTATCTTCAAGTAGAGTGGGAATGAGGGAGAGAGAGAGAAAGAAACACTGATGTGAGAGAGACACATTGACTGGTTGCCTCCTGCACAACCCCAACCAGGGCTGGGGACCAAACCATAACCAAGGTATGTGCCCTTGACCAGAATCGAACCCATGACTCTTTGGTCTGCGGGCCAATGCTCTAACTGCTAAGCCAAACCAACCAGGGCATGGACTTCTTATATCTTACATCTAGTACTTTTTTAAATCTTGTTTCTCTTGGATAACCCTGGTATTTTAAGTCTGTTTCCATAATCAGCTCTATAATAATCTCTTTAACTCATCTTTTATAACCATTTTAGTTCAGTTTTATTTCACTTATACTATTTTCCTGGAGTAATTTTTGTATACATCACTAAAGCTTAGTGTATTAACTGCTCACAGCCCTGCCCTCCCATTCATTCATGTTCCCCAAATGGTTCTTGCTTTAAAGAACCTATGCCGATGCCCTGGCTACTTTTGCCCAGTGGTTAGAGCTTTGTCCCATGGACCAAAGAATCTTGGGTTTGATTTGGGCCAAGGGCACATACCTCAGTTGCGGTTCGTTCCTGGACCCAGTTGGGGTTGTGCGGGAGGCAACCAATCAATGTGTCTCTTTCACATTGATGTTTCTCCCTCCCTCCCTTCCTCTCCTCCCTCCTCTCCTCCCTCCTGCTCTATCTGAAGATAAATGAAAAAATATCCTTGGGTGAGGATTTAAAAAAAAAAAAGAAGAACCTATGCCTGTGCTCTCTGACCTTTTTTTCACATCGCTATTTGTCATTCCCAGACTATTGCTTTCACCCTCTCCTGTCATCATATTTTAGCCACTTGTCTTTTTTCTGAGACTTCTGAAAAAAAAAAAATCATACCTTTTAGAAAGTTTTCTATTGGTAAGAGTGAATTAATTAATGATGCAGATTATTTATTTTATTCATAAACTTAATAATTCTAAGATCACATAATATAAAGGTTTTGGCTCCTAACTAATCCACTTGTAGATTGCCCAACTGGATATTTTGTTTATTTATTTTTTGGACATAAACTTTTTAAAAAATATACTTTTATTGATTTTTGAGAGAGAGAGAGAGATAGAGAGAGAGAGAGGGAGAGAGAGAGGGATGGAGAGAGGGAGGGAGGGAGGAAACATCGATGTATTAATTGATGGGTTGCCTTCCGTACTTGCACCAAGGGGATCTGACCACAGCCTAGTTATGTACCCTGCATGGGAATCAAAACCATAACCTTCTGGTGCATGGGCTGACTCTCCTGCCAACAGAGCCACATCAACTAGGGCAGTAATAAGTTTAAATCAGGAAATGGTAATCATTCTACTTTGTTCCTTTTTCAGGATTGTTTTGGTTATTCTAGGTCCCTTGCAATTCCATATGAATTTTAGAATGAGCTTGTCAGTTTTAACAAGGAACTCTGCAGGAATTTCAATAGGCATTGTATTCTGTAGATCATTCTGGGGGAGTGCTGCCATCTTAACAATGTTAACTCTTCAGATCCATGAACAGGAAATGGTTTTCCATTTAACTTTTCAACAATATTTGATAGTTTTCAGAGTATAAGTTTTACACTTTATTAAATTTACTCTTGAATATTTTATTTTTAATGCTATTATGTATTATTTTCTTAATTAAAAAAATTTTTATTGACATTTTAGAGAGAGGAAGGAAGAGAGAGATAGAAACATCGATGTAAGAGAGATACATTAATTGGCTGCCTCCTTCATGCCTCCTACTGGGGATCATGCTTGCCACCCGAGCATATGCCCTGACCAGGAATTGAATCGGGATCTCTTAGTCCAAGGGACAACGCTCAATCCACTGAGCCACACTAGCCAGACTATTTTCTTAATTTTATTTTTAGGTTGTTCATTGCTAATTTATAGAAGTACAATTTATTTTTGTACATTAATCTTGTATCTTACAACCTTGCTGAACATGTTTATTGGTTCTAATAGTCTTTTAGTGGATTCTTTAGACTTTTTTAAAGACAAGTCTATGAATATAGATAGTTTTACCCATTTTCTTTTTCCTATCTACATTCCTTTTATATCTTTTTCTTGATGACTGTCCTGACTCAAACACCAGTGCAAATGTTGACTAGGATGTTGAGAGGGAGAAGCGTTTATTAAATATAATAGTATTAATTATTAAATGTAATAGTAGCTGTGGGTTTTTCTAAAATCCAGTCTTGATTTTTGGCATATGATTTTATAGCAACACCTGAGAGCACGCTCACTCTTTGTAAAAGTGGCATCATACTCCATTGTATGAAAATAACAGAAATATTGTGGTTAACCTTCTGATAGATATTTAGATGGCTTTTTCTCCTACAAACCATACAGTAATGTAGAGTCTTGCTACATGTTATTTTGTACATGTATGTGTATCTTAGGATAAATCTTAGAACAGTTGCTTAATTTCGTTAGATGTGATCAAATTGCTTACCGGAGTGTTCCCATCAGAAGAGTGTGTGAGAGTGCGTATCTTCTGCCATATTCTCACCAATATGGTCTGTTTATCGGAATTTTTATTTTTGCCCGTCTGATAAGGAAAAAGTATTTTTTGTTGTCTTTTTTTAATTTTTAAATTTATCTTTATTGTTGAAAATATTACAGATGTCTCTCCCCCCACCCATGACACCCTCCTCGCCCCTCCTGCGTCCATTCACTATACTCTTGTCTGTGTCCATTGGTTATGCACCTATGCATGAAAGTTCTTTGGTTTATCTCTTCCAACCCCTTTCCTTCCCTCTGAGATTCCTCATCATGAATAAGGTGTATCTTTTCATAAGTTTAAGAGGTGTTTGAATGTTTTTTTTCTATGAACTCTTTGTTCATATTCTTTGCCCATCTCTCTTAATGTGTTGTTGATCTTTTTCTTATTGGTTTGAAGAAGACTTTTTAAATATAGGGAAATTAGTCTTTTGTCTATAATGTGATTTGTAAGAGTTTTGACCCTAGTTTGTTATTTGTATTTTGGCTTTGCTAATTTTTGACAAGAAGGAAATTTAAATGTTCATGTAGTTAATTATATTAGGTTTGTTTTTGTTTGTTTAATTTATAGCTTCCAGATTTTTTTTGTTGTTGTTGAAAATATTACATATGTTCCCCATTTTTCCTCCCATTTACCCCCTTCTTCCTATTCCTACCCCACCTCCTGCTTTCCCCAAACTAATGTCTGTGTCCATTGGTTTTGCATATATGCAAAAAAGTTCTTTGGTTTCCCTCTTCCTAACCTCCCTACCCCCCATCCCTCTGAGTTTTGTCAGTCTGTTCCCTATTTCCATGACTGTGGATCTGTTTTGATCGACAGCTTATTTATTAGATTCCACATATAAGAGAGATCATATGGTACTTGTCTTTCTCTGAGTGACTTATTTCTCTCAGCATAATCTCCAGGTCCCTTCATTTTGTTTCAAAGATAAGAGATCTTTCTTTCTTATAGCTGCATAGTATTCCATTGTGTAAATGTACCACAGCTTTTTTATCCACTCATCTACTGATGGACACTTGGGTTGTTTCAAGATCTTAAAAATGCTCAACATCTCTAATCATCAGAGAGATACAAATTAAAACAACAATGAGGTATCACCTCACACCTGTCAGAATGGTTGCCATCAACAAATCCTCAAACAACAAGTGCTGGTGAGGATGTGGAGGAAAGGGGACTCTAGTGCACTGCTGGTGGGAATGCAGACTGGTGCAGCTGTTATGCAAAACAACATGGTGCTTCCTCAAAAAATTAAAAATGGAATTGCCATTTGACCCAGTGATTCCACTTCTAGGAGTATATCCTAAGAATCCTGAAACACCAATCAGAAAGAATATATGCACCCTTATGTACATAGCTTCCAGATTTTGAATCATAATTAGATCTTTTTCTCTCAAAAACTATAAAAATACTCTTTTATATTTTCTTGAATACTAGTAAAACCACGCTTTGAAAAAACATTCTTTCTCCTTTTAAAAAATATGAAAGGTTTATATTACTAGGGGTTTTGTTTGTTTGTTTGTTTTTACACCTGTGTCATCTTCCCAATTCTACAACTATCTCTAAGAGTGGCTCAGCAGTGTCATTTAGAAGCTACCTGGGTATCTTGAGATATAATTTATCTAGTCTAAGAATTTGAACTCCTTTTGGTTAACTGAGTGATTCTGACAAATTCTTTACTCATTAGAGAATTTAACTCTGTTGGTACTTATTTCATCTATTTTTTTGTTCAGAACAAATCTTATCCTTTTTGATACAGTGTATGGAAAAGCAAAATAAAAATTGAGTTCTCCATTCCCTCTGTCTCATTTCTACTTTCTGCTCAAGTTCTAGGTTATTTTTTACTATTTGTGGATTTCTCTTCATCTTTCTTATTCTAAAGTCTCTGTATTACAAACAAGGATGACTTACTGTCAAACTAATTTCTCATTTACTGAGTTTTATTAAGAAATATTTAATGAGCAAGTGATACACAGCCATGTTCTAGGAAGACAGAAACAAAATTCATGATATTTTGTTTCTTGTTTTTAAGGGAGAAGGGCAAAATTACTAAATGGTGTATTATCATTAATACAGAACAGTATGTGTCACTTTCTATAGAGCCAACAACTCTTGTTAAAAATTTCTTTTTGTCTACAAACATGGTTTCACTGTGTTTGGGTGAAATACTCAGAAGGTCTGAAAGAACATTTTCTTCTCTGCAGTTTATTCTTCTAAGGTACAGTGGTGAGTAAGATTCTCAGAACTGGCCATGCAAGAAGGCTAGGCCACATTTGTGTCCGCTCCGAGTGTCCTGCAAAGCCAGTCATGGCATGTTCTTCCAAGCACTTGGGGCAGGTGGAATGTGTTTTTATTGAGGTATGCTAGCTTTCTAGTAGTGCTTTTTCTTAAAGGAAACAAGACCCATTTATTCCAATGCGTGTGGTTCATCTGTCCCTCTGGTCAGTGTTTCCTTTGTCCTTGGTTTGATCAGTTAAATTCCAGTTTGTACTTGTCTCTTGAAAGATACTAAATAAATTCTGACTTTAACCTTCTTTCACAAAATAGTAGAACTTAAAATATGAACCTGCATTTGCTTTCTTGGAAAAAGTGAAATTGATCTCGATTGAACCAAAGTATATTTCAGAAATGAGTTTTCCATGATAATATAATTACAGCTGTAGTTTTACTAAGAAACTTTATCTTCCTCTGAAAATTGCTGTATTGTATTGTGAAATTCTTTCCTACCACAGAACCAGTGCAGTTGATGTGACAGTATCTTCAGGCATGTTTTTTTTTATCACATAATTCTGCTTCCTCCTTGACTTCCTCTTTTCTCTCTTGCCATTAGTCTTTCCACATTCCCACCTGTCCCGACCCAGTTGGGAGCATTAAGGTAGATGAACATAGAAAGGAAGGAAGGGAGCTGTATTAGAATTTTCAAGTCAGTGACCATTTCTCTTTCTTTTTGTCTCAAAGTCTTGAATGACTCAAAGTCCACCAATGTCAAAAGTATTGTTACTGTACGCTGATCATGTGACATAGAATTGGCAAATAAGCCATTCATGATCTGCTTTCTGAAGGAAGAGATGGTCTCTATAGCTCTCACTCAGAGCAGAGGAGTTAAAGTTGAAGGGGTGGGTGGTATTCTGAACCACAGAATTACAAAACAATGATGGGAATAGATGTGGTGGAACAGAATTAACACCTCTGGACTGGAAAAGATCTGCTAAGATGCAGACTCTCTTACACATTTAAATAAATGAAAAGTGCATCATAGATTAGATTGAATAATTTAACTACAGGGTGATGGTGGCATGGCTGTTTGTGTACTGATAAAGTCAAATAAGCTATAGTAGGTAAGAGCTCAAACAGTGATATTAGCCTACCAGACTGCCACTTACCAGCATTGTGAACTTAAAGAAATCACTTTATCTCATTCTGCATCAGTGTCTGTGTCTTTAAGGTGAGGATGATAACAACATACCTATCTTTGTCAAACATACACAGACACACCCAAACCCTCAATAAATGTTAACTTTTTTTATTTTTGTCTTAACCTTTTCTGTACTCTCACAAGAATGTTAGAGTATTACAAGGTTAATGATGATAAATATTTATTAAAACAAGTATCTATATTAAAACAGTTAATAATTCTAACTTGTAAGAGTTAACTAATAATGTATATTATTTTAGTGTGTTTTTTCCCCAATGTTGATATTCATTCTGTGACATGTACTGAGTGTCTTCATTATCCTATCCTTATTGGGCTTTCAAAAAAATTAAACATTTGCTATTCTTTGTGGCATTGGTAGTCTTAATTTTTTTCTTATCTGAATCTAATAGAAACTTTTCCCTCTGTTTAAATTACATTTGGTCTTTTGACATTTTTCTTTGTTTAAAAGCAATTATTATCAGTTGACTTAAAATTTCTTCTGCCCCGGCCAGTTTTCTCAGTGGTTAGAGCATTGGCCTGAGGACCAAAGGGTCTCGGGTTCAATTTCTGGTCAAGGATAGGTACCTGGGTTGCAGGTTCGATCCCCAGCCCCAGTTGGGGTCGTGTGGGAGGCAACCAGTTGATGTATCTCTCTCACATTAGTGTTTCTCTCTCCTTCTGCCCTCCTTCCCATTCTAAAAAAAAAAAATCAATGAAAAAATATACTTGGATGAGGATTAACCAAAAAAACAAAATAATCTTCTGAGGTGTGTCTTTAAATGAAATGAATCTTAAAATATTATGTGTAAGACTTGACATCTTACATGGTTTCATTTATAAACTAAATCTTAATAATTATGCTTTGCCTATCTTCAAAATCAGACAGCAACCATTGATCAGAAAAACGAAGAAATCTAAAAGGTAAAGACCGCTCAGTGTTCATTCTCAGTTTGAATGTAAAATTCTGCTTTACTCCCACTACGAAAGGATAATTAGGACTCCTGGTTTTCTGTGACAGTGTGATTCATGGTCCATTTTATGTGGAAAAGGTTGTGAGATTTAAAAAAAACAAGCAGCTTAAGATATATAAACATGAAACGATACAGTCCTTCAAGGTCCAGTTCAAGAACTTCCTCCCCTGAGCCAATTTTGTTTGTGGTTCAAACTCTGGGTTCCCCAACATGATTTTTAAAATTATTTCAATGGTAATCTGTATAATGATTATGTTCCTATTTTTTATTTTTATTATGCTTACCATATATTTTAATAAAGCATGAACTGTATCATCTAGAGTTTGAGCCTAGACTAGAAAGTCGTTAGGAAATTCTGTTGGGTAAGAAATAAGTTTTTCAGGCTCATGAGAGGCCTATTTAGTTTTTTTCATAATTTAATTATAAAATGAGTTTTTCATGACTTAGGAATAGAGGCCAAGATTTATTATACTGCATGAATACATTTACTAAAAAAATTGATATATTGCCTCCGATTGAAGTATTAAATTTAGTTTTAATGAATCGAGTATTCAAGTCATATCTTTTAAAAGTTTATGTAAAAGAAACAAATCAAGAAGAAAACCACAGTCTAGAGCAAAACAATATGTATTATTACCTCACTGTACTGTTGTCTTTCAGGCTCATGAGAGGCTAGAAGATTCAAAACTAGAAGCTGTCAGTGACAATAACTTGGAATTAGTCAATGAAATTCTTGAAGATATCACCCCTCTAATCAATGTAGATGAAAATGTGGCAGAGCTGGTCGGTATACTCAAAGAGCCTCACTTCCAGGTAAACCTCCCTAGCCCTGTTCTCGCCAGGTCCCCTATGTTCCCAGATATTCTCCTTTAGTAATTAAGTTCAGTTTCAGATGAGGTTTTTAAATATTTAGGGCCATATTTTATAAGATGGAAATTCCAATATAGGTATTTTAATATTCCAATATTCTGACGATACATAAACAGGCACATGTAACTAATACACATTACACAAATGTCTGATGTCTGTTACAGAATTACAGCAGAATGGGTTTTTCTTTGTGTAATTAAAAAACAAACACACACCTGATTCACTATCAGACCACATGCTAGAGAAGTTTTTCCCCATGATGGTGGATTTTCTTCCTCACTAACACTCTTTCCCAGACCTCCTTGTGACCGGTCATACACATTTTCAGTATTGCTTCTAGGACTGGAGTACATTTGATGATCTGGGGACAACAGAGAGCAGTGTGAGGAGGGAAACTATTACATATTTTTGACAGGTACAAAAACTAAGTGCACTATAAGCATTGGTCTACATCAATAAAGAGTTAATCATTTTAACAAAGAAAAATCATTTTCAAAAGAGAAAGGGAGTGGGAAAGATTTCTTATAAATCTGTAATGAAGATAGTGTGGTATTGGGTCAGCATTAGAAAAATAGATTAATTGATGAGAATAGCAACCTCAGAAATATATCCAAACACGCATGACAACCTGGTCTGTGATAGAGATATTACATTTTAGTGGAGAAGGAATGAACTATTTAATAAATGGTTGTAGGATATAGAGGAATAAAGTGTCACTTGCTTTTCACTGCAAATCTTAGGGGGCAACACCTCCTTGCTTTTTCTCAATGACTTTCTGTGACTTGCCAACAATGTTATTGTAAAATATGAAGATTCACAATGAGATGGTTCCTACCTAAATCAGTATCTTAGGTACAAGAAAATGGACACCTATGAGAGACCTTTTATGCAGGGGCCATTGATTGAGGCTTTGCAAGGCATGCTAATGTATCTGGACTTGGTCCTTAGGACAGCGGGAAATCTTGGGCGGGGATGAGAGGAGGTATTGGACAGGGAGAGGTCAGATTATAGAGCTAGATTGTGAAGTACTGAGGCAAGAAATCGTGATGGCAGTATAAAAAGAGGATTTTCGAGTCTGAAGCAATAAAATCAACAGGACTTGGTGACTGGTTACATGTGACAGTTGCAGAAGAGAGATGTGGGAAGTTGATGAAGGATAGGATTTCTGACAGTGGATCGCACCCCTGAGATTAGGAACACTAGGAGAAACTGGGCATGTAAATGGTACTGGCCGTGTTAAGTTTGTGATATCTCAGGAGCTTCTGGGTAGTGCTTTCAGGCATGCTATATACATTTTTAAATAAATATATAAATTTAATAAATATACATCTATAAAAAGTTTAATAAATACATAAAATTAGAAAATAGCAACAAAAAATTTTTAAAAATACAAAAATTAAGACTGCATTCTTACTACCCAAATCACATCTTAGTGCATATTCCTCCATTTTCTATGCATAAATGTACATGTTTTTTTCCTTACTAATTGATACCATTTTTCAATCATTGATTTCCACTTTTCCATTTCAGTAGACCTCCATCTCATGTAGTGCATGTACTATATTCAAATGTGTTTATTTGATGCCAAAATATTATTTATAGCTGGTTTGTTGTACATACATGTTTCCAGCCTAGGTCCTTGTGTAGCATCTGGTTGGGTCATCCTTCTCTCCCTTGATTACGATGTTAACCTTTTGAAGAGACTGAGTCATTGCCCTATAGAATGCCCCCACTTCCTGGATATATCTGGTTGCTTCTCTACTGTGTTGTTTAGTTATCTATCCCTTCTATTTCCTGTAAACAGAAATTCTATCTAAAAGGCTGGCGATTCAAGTTAATTATTTGGAACTAAAATTCATCTTATGTGATGCAACATGAATTAAATTACATCAGAAATGTATAATGCTTGGTTGGCCCACCATTATTGATGCTGAGATTTGTCCCTTGATTAAGGGCAATGACCATCTAATCCTTCCTTTGAAAGCCTTTCCACTAGAAGTAATCTAGTGTGTTATTATTCCAGCATTATACAAATGATGTTTCCTTTCAACTATTTACCTACATTAATGATTCTGCCTGAATCAATATTTTCATTAGAGGTTGCAAAATGACATTTTTCAAACTCGCTCATTCTGCATTTATTAGTGGGTGTTCTTACATAAAGTAGAGCTCATCTTCATCAAGTATTTAGTTACTCTGTAATCCACAATCCTTCCCATTACCAATTTTCAAAGTAAAGAATTGTTTAAAGGAGCAATTTTAAATAGTAACAAATATGTTTTTTCAGTTTTTTTGTTTTTTTTTTTAAATGCTCACTCGAGGACATTTTCCCACTTTTTGTTTTGATGGAGGGAGAGGGGGGGAGAGAGAGAGAGAGAGAGAGAAACATTGATGTGAAAGGGACACATAGAGTGGTTGCCACCCACACGACCCAACCAGGGCTGGGGACAAACTGCAACCAAGGTACGTGCCCTTAGCGGGAACCGAACCCAGGTCTCTCTGTACCACGGGCCGATGCTCCAACCACTGAGCCAAACTGGCCAGGGCTCATTCTTTCTTAAATTTTTATTTTTAATAAGTTTGTATTGATTTTTTAGAGAGAGAAGAAGAGGGAGAGAGAGACATTGATGTGAGAGAGAAATATCCATCAGCTGCCTCCTGCATGCCCTCTACTGAGGCTCAAGCCTGCAACCCAGACATGTGCCCTGACTGGGAATCAAACTGGGACCTATCAGTCCATGGGGCAATGCTCAATCCACTGAGCCACCCCAGCAGGGCCAGTCTTTTGTTTTTTAAATAGCATTGTAGGGTTACGGATTTTTCATTAATTCAATAAGAGTCTGTGCTTTACAATCCTTAATACTTTGATTTTCAAATGACTATAATTTTGTTATGTTGTAGGCAAATTTTTAGTATATGAATCTGAAGCTCATGCAAGTTCTGCACCACAGATAAAAAATTGAGAATAAGCAATGTATAAATAGTGGTTCAAGTCACAATGGATAATATTTCCTAAGACAAGAGAACAGGGTAGAAACAAAGACCAGGCTACAGATTTGAGTAATTTCCAGCATTTATAGGAATAATGCTTATATATGGATTTGTACCTTTTTTCTTTTTTGAAATTTTTCTTTAGTCTCTTACACATATTTTCATGAAATAACCAAAAATTATCAATTAAACCTTTATGCTAATTATCTCTATTCTGAACCTTTTTCATATTTTGATTTATTGTTTAGAACTTGCATTTTATCCACTCAAAAAAGTTTTAAACTTAGCTTTTTGCTGAGTATACACAATTACAATACAAATAAAAAATAAAAATAAATATGCAAAAAAGTAAGAAATTCCTAGAAAACTAAATCAAAGTCATCCATGAAGATAGTAGTACATATATGGTATATGTAGAAGTTAAAGTATATTCAGGCCATCACTGGCTCATTTTGTCCACCTAAAAATGTATATTTTGTAGACTGCAACCTTTATTTCTAATATAAAATTTCCTATCACTAATATAAGATGCTAATATTTTTCTGTTTTCTATTGGACATCTTTTTAATAGATATTTTGTACATGTAATAAATATATGGTATTCTTAACATAACAATTTTAGTGTAAAAAGTAGGGCTTCTGCCAGTTGAATTGTGGGGATTGGTGGTACATACTGAATGGTAATGGTGGTGGCGACAGCGGTGGCAGTGGGTCTGGTACCTCCATTGCACCACACTTGGCAATCTAGGTTCAGTATCCATTGAACATGCCGCTTTTTTAGAGTAACAAAACTCAGTTTCTTCAAATGTTTTAAAATAAGGAATATGTACTGTTTGATGATTAAAATATGTTAATACTTCTTTTTTTTTTTTTATCCTCACCCGAGGACATTTTTCCATTTTTTGTTCAGAGAGAGCGGGAGGGAGAGAGAGGAAGAGAGAGAGAGAGAGAAACATCGACATAAAGGGACACATCGAGTGGCTGCCACCCGCATGACCAACCAGGGCCAGGGACAAACTGCAACCGAGGTACGTGCCCTTAGCGGGAACTGAACCCGGGTCTCTCTGGACCACAGGCCGACTCTCCAACCGCTGAGCCAAACCGGCCAGGGCTTTCTTAAAAAGATTCTATATACATGTGCTTTTAACTCATATTTGGGGGTTCACTAATGTAGTCCACTGGAATAATGAACTAAGTTATCTTTAATACCTTATTCCATCTGTAATTAATAACCAGTGGCTCTTTTGAATCCTTACAGTCACTCTTGGAGGCCCATGATATTGTGGCATCAAAGTGTTATGATTCACCGCCATCAAGCCCAGAAATGAATAATTCTATCAATAATCAGTTATTACCAGTAGATGCCATTCGTATTCTTGGTATTCACAAAAGAGCTGGGGAACCGTTGGTGAGTAGATAAATCAGTGCCTTCTTATATCTGAAATCTGACATACTTGTGGCTCGGTGACTATTATTATTTTTTTCTCTTCCATAACTTGTATTATTATGAAAATGTTATTTGTGTTTGCTTTATGTCTTTTTTGGCCTCTGTAAAAAATACACACCTAATGTTCTCTTACTTGATTTAGCATACAAAATTAAGCCAAGAAAAAAATTAAACTAAAATAGATGCCAGAAGAAGTTTGCTGGTGGGTAGCAAAAGTTTCAGAACATAAGTACTTTATGTTTTTCTTATGCCCTTTGAAGAAATTATCTCAGGTTGCTTGCCAATAATACTATCAAAACATGGAAGAATGCTGTTATTAAAAAGTGGAGACATGGTAGGTAGGGCTCTATAAGTAGTGAAGTTTACGATTTCCTGCTAAAATTATTATTTCTGCATCCTGACTATAAAAACAGTGAAATGGGAAAAAAGAAAAGCCAGGAACAAGACCATCAGAGTGCACAACTATCTTTTCTTGTTCCTTTGAGGTTCCTTTTATCCTGTGGAATGCAGCCTAATATATGTTTCATTTTTCAGGTTAACCTTATCATGGAAGTCCTTTTTTAAGGGTGGTATATATTGTCACAGTTGCTCATAGTTTAAGGAGATTAGAATATTGACACAGGAGTGAACATGGGTAAAACAGGAATGATTCATTCACCTACTTTTAGAATTATTTTCTTAAAAATACATATTCATGAGTACTTAAGATTTTTTTAAAAAGTCTAAAGTCGATGACAATTCCATTCCTTATTTCCTTTAGGGTGTAACATTTCGGGTTGAAAATAATGACCTGGTAATCGCCCGAATCCTTCATGGAGGCATGATAGATCGACAAGGTCTGCTTCATGTGGGAGATATCATTAAAGAAGTCAATGGCCATGAGGTTGGAAACAATCCAAAGGAGTTACAAGAATTACTGAAAAATATTAGTGGAAGTGTCACCCTAAAAATTTTACCAAGTTATAGAGATACCATTATTCCTCAACAGGTTAGTAATACAATTCTTGGTAATATTAAGAGTGCTTTTATTTCTTTAATCACACTGTTGTATACAACTTCCAGTCACTGCTCTTTTGCTAAAGAGAAGGAGTGGGGGAGGAGGAAACTGATTTAATTGTTCTGAATTGCCTTATTTTGTCATGGGTGGCTTTTTGAGTTATTAAACAATGTTATCTTACTATATAAGGAATTAGTAAAGAAGTCTCTGTGTGAATACCATGAACCTGCCATTTCATTAACATATAGCTTGGTATCAGAAAAACCATAAAGCCTTTTAGTCATTGATCTAGCAAACTTTTTTTGATACTGTTATGTTCCAGGCCCTGTGAGAGAATAATGTAATCTCGACCACCTGTAGCTGTACCTGTAGCTCAGTGTGCACGGCATGGGCTAGTGCAGCGGTTCAGCCGGTACGCCATAAGAATGCTAAACATGCCGTACCAGACTGTTCAGTCAGGGGCACTGACCTCTTTTCTCTTACTGTCAAATAAAAACATGACAACAGCCAACACAACGATATCTGTCTAGTGTGAATGAATAAAAATTTTACCTATTTTTTTTTTTGTCAGATCAGCAAAAAATAAAATAGATTTTTTTGGTGTGCCACAGAATTTTAGCAATTCGTTTATGTGTGCCATGAGGTGAAAAAGGTTGGGCCCTGGCCAGTTTGGCTCAGCGGTTAGAGCGTCAGCCTGCAGACCAGTGAGTCGCGGGTTTGATTCTGGCCAAGGGCACATATCTCAGTTGTGCTTTGTCCCTGGCCCTGGTTGGGGTTGTGTGAGAGGCAGCCACTCGATATGTCCCTTTCACATCAATGTTTCTCTCTCTCCCTCCAACTGTATCTGAACAAAAATGGAAAAATGTCCTCAGGTGAGAATAAAACAAAGAAAAAGGTTGAAAATCACTGGGCTGGAGAATGAGGCCAGAAAGAGAGGGTAAGCCCAGATTGAAAAGAATCTTAAACGCCTGGTTTGTACACATTCGATCTGTATTTTGTAACTAATTTTTAGGTTAAATAGATTTTTGAACAGGGGAATGTTTTAATGACATTGATCATTGAGCCTCATTATCTGAGTGAATTTCAAAAGAAGAGAGATGATATTGTGAAACCAGGAAGCAGATTTTTGAAGGTGTTGGGATGATTTTGAGAGGCTGTGAAGATCGTGTGGGTTCAAACACCAGTGCTGCCACTTACGAGCCTCTTTTCTCGGTGCTTCATTTTCTCTCCTGTGTAGTAGGGGTACTCTTTCTTCTCGCAAAAGGTTGTTGATGGGGATTAAAGGAGTTGATTCATGCAAAGCTCTCCTAAAAGCGCCTGGCACATTCTGAGTGCTCAACACATAGCTGCTGCTTACTGGTGTGATAGTGCTGGTGTAATACAGCCGCTTTAATGGTGAGCGCAAGAATGTTTAAACCACGCAATGCCCGGCTTTTAGTCAGGGACATTTACCTCTTTGCCCTTAGATCAGTGGTTCTCAACCTGTGGGTCGTGACCCCTTTGGGGGTCCAATGACCCTTTCACAGAGGTCGCCTAAGACATAACAGTAGCAAAATTACAGTTACAAAGTAGCAACAAAAATAATTTTATGGTTGGGGGTCACCACAACATGAGGAAAGGGTCGTGGCATTAGGAAAGTTGAGAACTACTGCCTTAGATTGTCAAATAAAAGAATGACAACAGCCCTGGCCAGTTTGGCTCAGCAGTTAGAGCGTCGGCCTGCGGTCTGGAGAGACCCGGGTTCGGTTCCCGCTAAGGGCACGTACCTCGGTTGCAGTTTGTCCCCGGCCCTGGTTGGTCGTGCGGGTGGCAGCCACTCGATGTGTCCCTTCACGTCGATGTTTCTCTCTCTCTCTCCCTCCCACTCTATCTGTACAAAAAATGGAAAAATATCCTTGGGTGAGGATAAAAAAAAAAAAAGAATAACAACAGCCAACACAATAGTAACTGTCCAGCCCGGCTAGTGTGGCTCAGTGGATTGAGCAGCATCCCATGGACTGAGAGGACCTGGTTCAATTCCTGGTCAGGGCACATGTCTGAGTTGCAGAATCGGTCCCCAGTAGAGGGCGCGCAGGAGGCAGCCGATGAATGTGTCTCTCTCACATCTATGTTTCTATCTTTCTCTCCCTACCACTCTGAAAAATCAATAAAATACATGTTTAAAAAAAAAAGTAGCTGTCCAGTGTGAATGAATCAAAATTATACCTATATTTTCTTGTCAGATTGGCAAAAAATACATTTTTTGATATGCTGCAGAATTTTAGTAATTAGTTTATATGTGCCATGACATGAAAAGCTTGAAAATCACTGGTATAATAGAATTGTAAAGGAGGAAAAGTAATGACATAATTACAAAGAAACAGTTGATGATTATGGTGGGAGTGTTGGAACTGAGAGGGTTTTCAAGCCTAGGTAATGTAGAAATAGGAAATGTCTACCAGTGTTTTTAGATGCAATTAACCATTCAGGTTTATTCCAGAAATGTATTATTTCATCTGTGAGTGAAATTGTGTTTTTTATCTAAGATACTACTGGTATATCATTGTCATACTATTAATAAGAAAATTTAAAAGGTTACTTTTTGTATTTCCATGTAATTCTTTGAAATATGTGTTGAATACCTGTTTTATAGTGTTATTCAGAAGATAGGATAGAATTTAGTCATGATTTTAGGATGTAAATTGGACTTCTGAGAATATACAGGCTTGCAATGAACTTTGGTTGTCATGAAGGTAGAAACCTTGTCTTGAAGGTAAAGAATAATGAATTGGCACATTTCCATTTGGAAAAGTAGAACCAAAGATTTAATTTTTTTAAATTATGTGTTGTGATACTTAGCTCACCAAGCCCATAATGGACTGTCACAGGAAAAATAATTTTTTCTAATATTAATAGCTAGGATTTGGCCTAAATTTCTCTGTAGATTCTACAGTTGGTGAGCTAATCTTAGACCTGTTTTAGGCATAAATCATCCCCCCCCCCCCCCCCCCCCATTCTATGCCTTCTCAAACTCTGGTTTTTATTTAGACTTTAGGTCTGGGAGAAGGGATTGAAATGGGGGAGGGGAGTCATCCAAGCCTAAGGCAGTCTCAGGCCTATCCTACCATAAGAAAGAAAAGAGACTATACCATGAAGGCTTCAAACAGGAGAGCTAAAACATTCATATTGGGACCTTTTCTACAGTGAAAGGTGAGGGAGTGCTAATTATGCTGTAAGGACAGCATAAACGAGCAGTGTCCTGGGCAAACTGTGGTCATGGTGCTTAACAGTCACTAGGGGGGAGGAAGGGCTTTTAGCCTCTCAGCTCTTTTACTAGACGCTCCACCATGTAGTCCTGCTGGGCCTGTCTCAGCTTTCCCTCTGGCTTGCTGAGAGAGAAATGAAAGCCAGGAGCTCTCCTTCTGCAGGGCGGTGTTTTTTCAAAGCCTGGCTTTTAGTCAGGGGCCAAGATAAATTTGCCAAACTTCAGGCATAATTGTGATTGGTAACAAGGAGTTGCCCTGAGATGATATATAGAGTAACAGATGATAAAACAAATATCTGCTATAGCACATGATAAAAATCTTTAGTTCTCCTTAAATTAGGAATAACTAGTATCTCTGATATCAAAGAGGTAACTGTGTTTGCCAACCAGAGAATGGTGACCTGCTTGAACAGTCTTAATACTCATACATCTCTGACAGCAAATACTTTTGCCATTATCAGCCGTGCTTAGACAGCAGGTGACAAAAGTGCCACCCAGCATCTGAGACCAGCTCGATGTCAGTAAGCTTAAGGTCACTGGCAGAAGCTGGATGGAAAAGCACCACTTGCTTTGGGGGAAGAGGGTGATATTGTTCAGAATTTTGATGAGGCTCCAACAATAAGGCCATTGGAATTGATTCAACTTCGGAAAAAAAAATTTAAAACTTCAAGAAAATTTTGTTTGGTATGTAATGAAATTCTGAGGCCCTTGAACACTGCTGCTTTTAAATGATTATTTGTATGCAATTATTTATTTGCAGTTAATTAGGCCAAAGAAGGCAACACATAAAGTTTAAAATAGATTAATAAAGTCTTTGCCTATTTTGTTTAAATAAAGAACTAGAGAATGATATTTACTAATGCCACTCCTATTCAATATTTTATTGACAGTTCAGTAAGCACAAAAAGACAAAAATAGATTATAGAAGCAAAAGGTTTGAAAAGAAGAAAACAAAACATTATTTTCAAGTAATATTTTTGGATAGAAACCCCCAAAATATAAATTATTAGAAATAATACAGTTTAGCAAGGTAATTGAAAATAAGACATACAAAAGTCAGTTGTGTTTCTGTATGTCATCAGCAAACATCTAGAAATGAAGATGAGAGAGACATTTACAGTAGAGTCAGAGAATATCACATTTTTATGTCTAGAAGTAAATCGAAAAATACTCAAGACTGCTACACAAAAAAGTTATGAAAATCTATCTATATATATCATGTTCATGGGTAAAAAGATAACATTGTGAAGATGTCAGTTTTTCTCAGATTGACTTGTACATTCAGTGCAATCCCAATAAAAATTCCAATAGGGTTTTTTATAGTATTTGATAAGATGAATAACCAAAATAGTTTTGAGTCAGAAAAGCAGAAATAGGGGCTTATTATTAAAGTGTAGGAATTAAGATATTTTCAAAAGTGGTAGTACCAATTTATGTTCCCACCAGCATTATATGAGAGTTTCAGTTACTGCACATTTTGACCAACATTTGGTATGTGCAGTCTTCATCTTACCATGATTTTAATTCACATTTTTCTAATGATCATTAACATTAAGCATCTTTTCATGTCCTTATGCCATGCTTATGTCTACTTTGGTGATATCTTCAAATCTTTTAATCTTTTTTTTTTTTTAAATAAATAGGAAGGGAGAGAGAGAAAGATCGATGTGAGAGAGAAACACTGATTGCTTGCCTGCACCCCGACCTGGGATCGAACTTTCATCCTGGGTGTGGACTCTGATAGGAATCAAACCCACGATCCTTCGGTGCATGGGACAATGCTGCAACCAACTGAGCCACACTGGCCAGGGCTATCCATTTTTTATTGAGTTGTTTGTTTTCTTCTTATTTGGTTTCGAGAGTTCATGTTTTCTGGATACAAGTAGTTGATCAGAGTTAAGATTTGTGAAGGTTTTTCTCCTAGGGAAAAGGCTTGTCTTTTCATTCTCTTAACAGTATAATACAAAGAGCAGAAGTTATAAATTTTGATGAAGTTCAATTTGTCTAATTTTTCTGATTCTTAAAAGAAAAAAATGTATAATTAAAAAGTTTGCTTTTGTTAATTCTGTGTAAAAAAATATTTTATATAACTCAAAGTCATAAAGATTTTCTCCTATGTTTTCTTCTTAAAAATTTTATAGGTTTATGCTTTACAACTTAGCTCCATGATCCATTTACTTTATGAGTTTTTGTATAAGGTATAAGATATGAGTCAAAGGGTTTGGGGTGGTCCTGGCTGGTTTGGCTCAGCCTGCAGACCAGAGAGACCTGGGTTCAGTTCCCACTAAGGGGCACGTACCTTGGTTGCAGTTTGTCCCTGGCCCCGGTTAGGGTTGTGTGGGTGGCAACCAGTCAATATGTCTCTCTCCCATCAATGTTTTTCTCTCTCTTTCTCCATTTCTCCCTCCTGCTCTATCTGAAGATAAATGCAAAAATGTCCTTGGGTGAGGATTTAAAAAAAAAAAAAAATTTGTGTGGGTTTTGCACATGGATATCCAATTTTCCCAGTTCCATTTGTTGAAAAGGCTATTTCTTTCATTGAATTTGGAAAAGTTTTGATTGTTTTTTCTTCAGATATTTTTTCTATTCCTCCGTTTTTTCTGTCCTTTGATGACACCAGTTATATATATATTGGGTTCCTTGAAGTTGTCCCATAGCTCATTTAATACTCTGTTCATTTATTTCAGTTTGATTTCCTCCCAGCTTTTCATGTTGTATAGGTTCTATTGCTATGTCTTCAAGTTTACTAATTTTTTCTTCTGGAATGTCTAATCTGTTGTAAATTATATCTGGTGTACTGTTCATCTTCGACATGGTGGTTTACATCTCTAAAAAATCAAATTGAGTCTTTTTTATATCTACCAAATTTCTACCTGACGTGCTCAACCCTTCCTCTAGCTTCTTGAACATATGAATACAATATGTAAAGTGAAAGTAACTATTTTAATGTTCTTGTCTATTAATTCAATCATATCTGTTATTTCTGGATCACTCTTGATAGATTTTCCCTCACGTTTTAGGTTGTATTTTCCTCCTTGGTCATTTTTGATTGGTTGCCAGACATCATGAATTTTGCCTTGTTGAGTACTGGATATTTTGGTATTCTTAGAAGTATTCCTAGGCTTTGTTGTAGGATACCTAAGTTACTGGGGAGTAGTGTGATCCTTTTCAGGTCTTGCTTTTTAAGCTTTATTAGGTGCAGCCACAGCAGGGTTAAGTGTAGGGTATAACCCTTCTGAATACTCAATGCTTCATGAATTCTGAGCTTTTCCTACTCATCCTGGTGAAACAGAGACTATTTCTGACCCTGTACAACCTCCTTAAATTGTTTTCTATTACACTGGTTCCTCACTTGGCCTTAGGGCCGCGTCCTCAGACACATGAACTGGTCAACTTCACTGAAGACCCAAATGAGTCCTCTGCAGTTCTCAAGCCTTCTCTGTGCAGCCCTTTCCTCAGTGAGGATCTGCTCTGCACTGTACCCGCCTCCGTCTTCCTGCTCATGGCCCCTGGGAGGCCACCAAGCTCTAGTTCTCCTTTCCTGAGTTGCTAAGTGGAAACTTTTCTGTGCATTTAGCTAGAGCAAATTTATGGCTCATCTTGTTTCCACTTTTTAGGAATCACCATCTTCGTTGTCTGATGTCTTGACAAATGTTTTACATATTTTGTCCAGTTTTTTAGTTGTTTCAGGTTGGAGAGTCCTTGTTACTTCATCTTAGAAGCAAGAGTTATTTTATGTTTACTTTACCATAAAAATTTAATTTTTGAATTAGATGAATCATTCTCATGGTTCAAAATAAAGAAATTTGTATTCAGTTGAAACCTCCCTCCTAACTCTCTACCAGTCTAATTCTCACTCCCCCTAAAAGATACCATGCTATTCATTTATCTTTCCAGAGTTTCTTTATTCATGTGCAAGTAAGTAAAAATTATATTTTCTTTCCTTCTTCTACCTCCTTTCTTATGAAAAGGTTACATAGTGTACTCACTCTGAACCTCGCTGGTTTGTTTTCAATTAACTGTTATCTTGAGGATCTTTTTTTTGGTACATAGTCTGTCTGTTGAAATGCACCCCTCCTCCCCCCTTAAACATCTGCACTGTGTTGTAGTACATAGATTTACCATCATTTGTTAAATCAATTCCCTTTTGTCAAATAATTAGGTTGTGTCTGATCTTTTCCAATTAGGAATAATTCACTAGTTAATAGTCTTCTACATAATTCACTTTGTGTATATCTGACTAACATTGCTGTTGAATACATTCCCAAAGGTGGATTGGTAGGTCAGAGAGTTTTTGCATTTGTAATTTTGGTAGTTATTGCCAAATTGTCTTCCCAGTGGAGTGAACTAGTTTTTTCACCAACCTGTTAGAAAAATGACTCTTGGCCCATATCTTAGCCGTGGTATATTAAGTATTTGGATTTCTGCTAATCTGACAGGAAGAAAATGCTATCATTACACAGTTTTAATTTGTTTTTCTACTCTGAGTGAGGTTGAACATCTCCAGTGTTTAAACCTCTTTTCTCTCCTCTATCTACTTTAAATTGTTAGTCATTCACATCTTTCTTTTAATGATAAGGATATGAGATTGAAATATTTTAGGTTGTGTTTAGTAACTTTTTAATAACAGATGAACAGTTGACAGCCATAACCTATTAGTGAAACACTTTTAAATGCTCTTAATAAAATATAATTATACTAGACAAATCTGTAATGATTTTAAGGTCATTACAAAATGTTTAGATCAAAGATTGGGTTCATTGATTTTTTTTCAGACAAAATTTCAAAGTTCAAAGTAAAACCAGTTTAATCTGAGTTTTTGAGCATGAGCATAATGTTTCAAAATTAATTTGATAAATGGAAAAATAAAAATTATTTCTTCTACAAATCCTTTACATTTGAAATGTATAGTTTTTGTTCCACAGATAATAACATTTTCAGAACAATTTGATGGGAGTAGAGGAATGAATATTTGACATTTGGACTAACTTGGAAAGTCTGAGCTTTATGATTACAAAACATGTTCTGTCCCACAGATAAGAATGATAAACATAGGCATGGTTAGGTGACAGGGTGGGTGCTCTTGTTATTCACTCTGCGGCTTCTCGAGAAGTAAGGCGTGTCCCCGCGTTTTTACAGCTTTGCTCACCCATCCTTTTTCTCTGCCTCACCTCAGACTTGTTTCTGTCATTTGTAATTTTCAGGTCTTATACCCTCGGACAATTCTTTAGGGAAATAGTTGCTTTACTAAATGAGCAAAGTAATAAAATGGGCCAGTAGTTTGTTTATATTCTTTTGGTTTATTATCACTTTAAAGCCTGGCTTTATTTATGCAATGAAAAATATATTTTTAGAGTTGCATCAATATGGAGAGGCATCCAGCACACGTCCGTCAGGTATGGTGACATTCCAGACATGCTCTGGTACTGTGTTTTTCTGTCTTATTAGCCAACTAAATTTACCTTGATTAACTTAATCATTTTGGGTTTTCTTCATTGCCAAATCATGGAGCTGCATGCCATTGTCAAGTTAGCCATTGTCACATTTTTTGGCAAGCTTAGTATTATTTGTATGCTTGCCTTTTAGAGATTTCTAAAATTGTATATCAGAAAAAGTTATTGGCTTACTGGTTTTTTAAGCATTAATATTTAGCCTTTCCAAGGTTATTGAAAATGTTCTGAATGCTTTTTTTGAAAATCATCTAATTGTAAATAACAGTTTGTCAAATGTTCCCAAATTTAGTTATTTTTAAATTATCTAATCTGCATCCATCACATTACATTTTATTACACTAATAATATAATTTATCTATTTGTGTTATTTGAATATCTTGTGTGGTTATAGAATATGAAAAACAATAGAAAAATAACATCATTTTGACTAATTATGTGCTTTCCTGCTTGTTAAAGTTTACCTGCTGATTAATGCTAAGTCAGTTCTTTAGAAGATAAAATTTGAATTTCTATAAATGTGCATGAAAAAGTTTGTTTTAAGAAAGTAATCTGTCTGAATTTATCATCAAATACTGTCAATGCTTAGCTTAATTAGAATTAAAATTAAAATGAATAAGCAAAATAGTCTAGATACTGGAGATCATAACTAACTGGTAACTGACATACTTGTAATGATAAAACAGATTTAAAAGAAATTTGTATAGTTCAGTGAATTTTAAATAGTGTCCAGGCTTTTTCAGTATTTGTGTTGCAATTAATTTAATACTGATCCTTTAAATCAGAGCAAGATGGTTCCAGGAAAGTATTTTCCACACTAGTTTTGGCCAGTGTAAGTCTGTGTAATTAAAAAAACAAACATATATTACCATGGATAAAAGTTGGGGTTTTTATTTTATTTTATTTGTTAAGGTTACTAAATATATTTCAGGTCTGACTTCAACATGAACTCTTATTTAATTTTGGTTTCAGGGCCCTTTCAAAAAGTCAGTCTTAATATATCTGAAATATATGCCTTAAATCAACTGCATGTATCATTTCAGGATGTTAATTAGGAAGTAGCATTTGCTGGCATAAAAATTATACAGTGTTGGAAAATCATGTGAAAAGAATGTCAGAATTAAATTATTGTCAAACTCGGTTGATTTAAGATTAGACGTTAAAATAGAAACAAAATTTTAATGTGCTAATGTGTATGTCATATTTTCTGGTACCAAATTATTAATGTCCTAATAATTTAAATTTTATTTGAGAGAGACAAGGTCCTTAGTTGAAGTATTAAATACATTGTCAATTACAATAATATCACAGTGGTTTGAAAAAGATTTCAAAAATCTAGTAACAAATGATACATCTATAATTTTTTTATTCTGTGTGTTTTAGGTATTTGTGAAATGTCATTTTGATTATAATCCATACAATGATAATCTGATACCCTGCAAAGAAGCAGGATTGAAGTTTTCAAAAGGAGAAATTCTTCAGATTGTAAACAGAGAAGATCCAAACTGGTGGCAGGTTAGTGTGCTGCTCAGAATTTCCTCACCTGCTTTTTATTTTCAATCTTCGATTTGGTCAATATCTGCATATTCAGGAAGAAGGTAAGGTATTAGCATTTGTTCTAGTGATTGGTTGTTCCTGCATGAACAGCTCCTGCTTCATGGCTGCTAATTTTGTAGACAAGACTAAATTGAGAAGGAATTTGTGAATAGCTGTTAATAAATGCAGAATTAACTGACCTGTGGTGCCATCTCTGGTTTAGGGATTAGACCACTTGGTTCTTCCACATGGGTGATTGCAGTAAGATATAGAATTAGACAAGAACAACTCATTTGGGGTCATCAGTTTTCAGCGTTTGTTTTTGTTAGTTTTAACTGAGGCCATTTTTTTTTTTTTTTTTTTTTCTGGTCATTGTAGTAGTCTTTCTCTTGTCTCCCCTTCCTCTGAACATTCATGGCAAATGCAGCTTAATTTTTTAAGCTCTTAGCTCTCAAATCTATTTGCCTATCTCTTCTGATGTGTTAAATGAAGGCGTGCTTTATCATCAGTGTTGTTTTTGATCATGGATTGAAATCTGTGTATATGGAAAAGGATGTGTGTTAACACTGTATTTTGCCCCTTCATTTTCCAGATCTGTGGGATGATGGTCTTTTTTTCCTCCCCTCAATACAGTTTTCAGAAATCTCTGGCGGCCACAATGAATCTGTTTTTGTCATTGTTTACATTGGCTAACAGTCACAGTGTTTACAATTGAATAACTAACAAATGGGAACGTCTAAACTCAAACTGTCAGAGGGTCTCATTAAAGAACAAGCTGTGAGAGAAAAAGACCCAGGATCTAGCACCAAACTATAAATTAAACTGAGATGTCAGTAACTAACTCACATTAGCTCCAGTAACTTATATTGACTTCTAAGGGGAATGAATTACAAGAATGAGAACGATCTTACTAATGTGTCCTTAAATTTAAATGAAGACATTAATATGTACAAGTTTACTGTGTAACTGGTTAGAAAACTAAGAAATGAGTACATTAAATAGAATTCATGATTTCAAGAGGTTTACACTGAATTTCTTAGACTACTCACTAGAAAATCTGCCTTTTGTGGCTGTGGCCTTTATTGAACTTATCCAATGTTTTCTTTTTTTCCACTTTTTGAATGCCATCTCTTAGTTTTCTCATCTAATTTCTTTCACCATTATCTCATTTTCTTCATTTTGTGGTCTTTTCCTTTAATTCTCTTTTTTCCACCCAGGATTTTACTTGCTAAGAATGTACCAGATTTTTTTAATGCTGATTTATTAGAATAAAGTCACTAACTGTGGGATAAGCCACTAGTAGCCAGTTCTCCAGCCACTGTATTAAACTAGCACTTCTTCGAATTTTACTTTAAAAGTTAGTTCTTGACAGTAAGTGAAGTTTTACCTCCTTTAAACTTACGATTTCTCAGGGTATTCAGATTGCTGGTGGACTGAATTAAATGTTCCACTCCATTTTCCCAGTGCTGTCTTTTTCTCTGATTTGGCCTCAGGATATACCAACATGGTGGGATTAAGGCTGATAGTAAATATCTTACTAAAGGATGCTAGATGAAATGTCCTATAAACACATAAAATAGCATTTATTCCTGCCCAGCTGGTGTGGCTCAGTGTTTGAGCATCAACCCATGCACCAAGAGGTTGCCACTTTGATTCCCAGTCAGGGCACATTCCCAGGTTTGGGGCCAAATCCCCAGTGAGGGGCATGTAGGAGGTTGCCAGTCGGATGTTCTCTCTCATCGATATTTCTATCCTCTTCCTCCCCCTCTCTCTAAAATCGATAAAGAATAATAAAAAAAATCTTAAAGAAGAGCATTTATTCCTTTCCATTCTTTGACTTAGTATTACAAATAAAAAGGTTTAGTAATTTAAAGAGCCTGGCTACTTTTGTATTTTGGTCCCAAAAATGTCATACCAGATTGGGGGGTTGGGGGCGTTGAGTAGGTGTTAAGGTGTGTAAATAACTTGACAATGCATGGATTTAAATCTCAAGGTGAGTTTTTAAGAGCAAATGTGGTATTTTTTTAATGACTGCTGTTTGTTCTACTTTTTAGAATATCATCTTAAATGTTGGTTACTGAGATATACAATTCATTAATTTGATTCTAGGCTAGCCACGTAAAAGAGGGCGGAAGCGCCGGTCTCATTCCAAGCCAGTTCCTGGAAGAGAAGAGAAAGGCATTTGTTAGAAGAGACTGGGACAATTCAGGTGATGAGCTCCACACAATAAGTAACAAGTTGCCCTTTGTGGACACCTTTCTTTGCCTGTTTCATCTGAATTAGCAAGTGAATTTATTGACTATGTGTCTAGAATTAATCCCTCTCATCTGCTTTATTGCAGCTCTCTCAAAAGTAAACTTTTTGATCCCTTTCTGCCACCTGCTGGTATGGCATCAGAATTCAGTGACTCAGCTGCGCCCTTCTGCTTTGTAGGATGTAACACTGGGAAGACAGATAGTTCTCCCACCCCTGTTGAATACCACAGGGCAGTTTTATCATATTTTGACATTCTGTTTAAGGTATATTTGTCTTATCATCCTTCAGGACCTTTTTGTGGAACCATAAGTAGCAAAAAAAAGAAAAAGATGATGTATCTCACAACTAGAAATGCAGGTAATGTTTGAAATACTTTTTGAGAAGTCTGAGTGAAATAGGTTTATACTGTTAATCAATGTGGCATAAAGTCTAAATGTATAGTTTTCAATGAATATAATTCAGATTAGTACCCAGTTCAAGGGGTTGGCATGTGAATGCATGGTACAATTTAATATGAAGACATTTATTTAAATCCTGATGTTATATATGCTTATACTATGACCAATGTGCTTTATTTTATGAGTATAGTTTACAGTATAATGAATTGCTTGGGATGCTTGTATTAATAAAGGAGCAATGTTATAATTGAAACTATTTGTTTAGAGGACTTTGATGGTAATTTAGTGTCATTTCTAAAGAGCAAAATACCTTTATGAAGGTATAAAGAGAGTATGATTAAGGGCAACTATATTCAGCCATAACATTGTCCATGATACTTTTGGGAAATTAGTACTGACCAAATAAATCTTAGTCTGATCCAGTAGAATTCTTTCTTAAATGTTTAGACTTAAGGAAAGATAAATGTAACAACTACCATAGTATTTTTCAGTTGCAGAGGCTAATAAGAGCGAGTCAGCTCTGGAGGCTCACTCAAAGGAATGGTCCATTTTAAAGTACTTTTGTGACTTCAGAGCTGCCTCTCAACTGATAATAAACTAAGTAGCCATTCTGTAAAGGAAATAATATAATAATAGGGAGGAAAGAGGCTCTCCCTTAATACTGATTCAATCTACTGTGAAGAAATTTTATAAAGAAAGGGTTGCTGTTAAAATAACCTAAGGAGGAAGTATTATTACTACAGATTGAGAGTTGTAGCTATAATAATGGCAATATAATATTTCAAAATCAGTTTAGCCTTATTATTAATTAAATACATGTTCTTTTTTTTTTTTTTTGTAGTCCTTACCCGAGGACATTCCTCCATTGATTTTTAGATAGAATGGGGGGTGGGGGGGAAGTGGGGGAGATGAAAGAAAGAACAAACATCAGTGTGAGAGAGAGACATCAATTGGTTGCCTCCCACTTGACCCAGACTGGGGTCACAGATCAAACTTGCAACCAAGGTACGTGCCCCTGACTGGGAACTGAACCCGCAACTCTTTGGTCTGTGGGCCGACACTCCCAACTGCTGAACCAAACTGGCCAAGGCTAAATACATGTTCTTAAATCTTTCTTGCAAGATAGAAAATTTGTAATTTTACCATTGACCAAGATAATTTTGGAATGGAGTTCCACTGAAAATAATTTGGATCCTATGTTTTATTTTATACATATTTTCAGAATCTTAATATTTAAATGTCAGTGTGTTGTCTATATGCATTTTATTAATCAAATTGATATTTGCAGAGTCACCAAGACACTGTTTATTCATTTATGTCACTGGACGGGCATTCTCATTCTGTAAGAACTTATTTAAGCAGCTATGCTGGGTATACTGCTGTCCTCCATATTTGATACATAGCTTTTAGCTGAATAAACTATGTGTCATTGGATTATTTAGATTAAAGAAATTATTTATACTCATGAATTGATAAAAACATTTTATGAATAGAATATCCATAAAGCACAGGCATTTTTCCAGCTTGACTAGACAAAATTTTAAGGGCAAATGGATGGTTGCAGATGTTTAAGTCAAAATATAAAATAATTTCTTGTTCTTTACCAAAGTAAAACAAACAAATCTGTACTGAGTACAATTCAAGTGGTCTTTCACTATCTTGACAACTAAATCATTACTGAACAGAATAGCAGAGGTTTCTCGTCCATATGAGAGACAGTTGAATATGATCTTTTCCATTTCCTTTTACATGTAGAATTTGATCGTCATGAAATCCAGATCTATGAGGAGGTAGCCAAAATGCCTCCCTTCCAGAGAAGGACATTAGTATTAATAGGAGCTCAAGGTGTGGGACGAAGAAGCTTGAAAAACAGGTTCATAGTATTGAATCCCACTAGATTTGGAACTACGGTGCCATGTAAGTTGTGTGTTTTCTTTGCTGTTTAATTGATAAAAAAATGTAATAGGGGCAGATTATTATTATCTTTATTACCAAATAATATTATGTCAGTGAAAAGAGACAAATAGAAGATACTGGCAATTACTCTATAGCTCTCTCGAAATAGCACTGTTCCCCTGTCAGCCTGCCGCCCGGTGGTAGTCGCTGCTCCAGACTCTCTAGTCCAGAAGTGTTAGTTAAATACAACTATTAAGAGTTGTGGCAAAATCAGCATTAATTTTGTATTTCCTTTTACATCTGATGTCTGTCTGAAAAGTTGTATTTTTCACCTTATTTTGGTGTAAAGAAAAAGGAGAAACCTGCTGGATCCTCAGGCACTTCTCAGTGTGGCAGTCCCTCTGTTAATGTATGTGACCCTGCAAGGTCATAGACCTGACTTTGATCACAGATCAAGAGTGATTCCAGAGCAGGCAGCATTCATTAAGGTCACAGAGACTGATACATATAATGATACTGATGGGAAGTATAACCATTAAATGAACCAAACACTTATTTTATGATTTTTGTATTCTTTCCCTATTTGCATATTTACATGGAAGTTCAGTAGTGATGTCAGAAGTGTGCTTGATGAGAATGGAATTAGATCAAGAAGTTAGATGATATCACAGACTTATTATAAGGACTAATATAATTTGTCTTTATTTTGAAGATCCATGAGCCTTTATTACATGCTCTGTCCCCTGAAAAATGCAGGAGACAAGCCAGTGTTACCTGTATAACTCTCCTTTCTGTGCATTTCTGAACAAGCCCCCTTTTTGATTAACAGTATTTTTTAGATATATCAATACCTTTAAGTTGCTCTGAGTCAAATCTTAGCCTCACGTCATTCCATCTCTTTTAGATAAATTTTAGAGTTTCTCCACTTTCATCCAGTTTGCTTTGAGGTTTAATTCTCAGGGAGTAATCTTATTGCTGAAGTTTTCAGGGGTTGGGTGGGGGAGTAACCTTGTCATCGCCCCGTGTGCTGTTTGTAATCCCTCAGGTAGGGCTTTGGGTTCCACTGTAGGCACTGTAAACCACTGCGCTCAGACAGGTCCTAGTTACGTAGTTACACAAACCTCACTGTGGTCAAAGTATTTGAAGTATTTTATTTTTTATCAAATTAATACATGTACAATATTTTAATCAAATAGTATTAAAAACATATAATAGAAAAATAACCCCCCGTTTTCCTCTACTCCCACCTTGGACCTACTTACCAGAAACAGTTGCTTTTCTTTTTCTTTTTGCTATTTCTTTTGGTAGTTTTCTGTATTTCTCAATTGTCTTCATTCTGCTGTTTCTTGCCTTGTCCAGTGTGAGCCTCATTTATTGACTTCCTGACTCTCCTCCCAAAATAAAAATAGCTTTAGTTTTGGTTAATTCATTTTTATTTTCTTGGACAGCCTCTCCCTTATCCCCCACCCAGCAATCACTAGACACCTTTTTTTTCTTCTCTTTACCTTGATTTTATGTGTATAATTTTGTTTTAAACCAAAGACTCACTTATCTATTAAGTTATGCTTTTTTCTCGGAGACCTGTCTCAGGAAGCACTGCGCCGTCCTGGGTTGAAGCTGCTCCCTGATCCCATTCTTCTTTCTTGGTTTATTGCCTTGTTTTGCTAGTTACATCCTATGGTAACTTCACAAAAAATTGTGTATGGGATGTAATTTTCACATCTTTGCAGTTGAAGGTGTATATTTTCTGCCCTACATTTGGTTGACTATTTAGCAGAAATTCTAGACTAGAAATTGTAGATGGTAAAACGCAGATGTTTCTCTTGAATCCAGCTCTGTTAAGTTCAGTGTCGCCCTGGCCAGTTTGGTTCAGCAGTTAGAGCATCAGTGTACGGTCCAGAGAGACCCGGGTTCGGTTCCTGCTAAGGTCATGTACCTTGGTTGCAGTTTGTCCCCAGCCCTGGTTGGTCGTGTGGGTGGCAGCCACTCGATGTGTCCCTTTCACATTGATGTTTCTCTCTTTTTCTTTCTCTTCCTCTCTCTCCCTTCTATTCTATCTAAACAAAAAATGGAAAAACGTCCTCGAGTGAGGATTTAAAAAAAAAAAGTTCAGTGTCATTCTAAGTCTTACTAAGTCCTTTCATTCCGCACATGACCTGGTTTTTCTTTCACAGATAGGTAGGGTATTTTGTTGTTTTTAGTATTTTGAAATTTAATAATGATGTGCCTTTGTGTGCATATTTTTTAACTCGTGTTGATGATTAGTGGACTTTCTGTCACAATAAACTTGCCAGACACTTCACAGAAATGTAATTATACAATATGTAATGTTTTGTGATTGACTTCTTTATTTAGCATAAAGTTCCCCAGATTCATCCATATTAACAGCTGCTGTCAGTACTTAGTTTCTTCTTACTGCTAAAGGATGTTCCATTTTATGGCTGTACCACATTGTGTTTACCTGTTCATCACTGGATGGACATTTGGATTGCTCTATTTTTTAGCTGTAATGAATAATGCTGCCGTGAACATTTGTGTGCAAGTATTTATGTGAGCATCTATGTTTTCTTTTTCTCAGGAATGGAATTTGTAGGTCCAATGATGACTTTGTGTTTAAACTTTTGAGAAACTGCCACATTGTTTTCCACAGTGGCCATATTATTTTACACTCCCAGCCATGTACGAATGTTCCAATTTTTTAAAAGTTATTATTGAATTTATTGGGGTGATATTGATAAAATTATATAGATTTCAAGTGTACAGTTCTATTACTCATCGTCTGTATATTGTGTTGTGTGTTCACCACCCCAAGTCAAGTCTCCTTCCATCAGCATTTATACCCCCTTAACCTTCTTCTACCTCCCCCCTCCCACCCCCACTCCCTTTGCCTCTGGCAATCACCATACTGTTGTCTGGGTCTATGAGTGGTATTTTGTTGTTGTTGTTGTTTCTGCTTAATCCCTTCACCTTTTCCACTCAGCTCCTTAACCATCCTCCCCTTTGACAGCTGTCAGTCTCTTCTCCGTATCCAGGAGTCCTTTTCCACTTTGTTAGTTTATTTTGTTCATTAGATTCCACATGTAAGTGAGATCATATGCAATTTGTCTTTCTCTGACTGGCTTATTTCACTTAGTATAATACTCTCCAGGTCCATCACACAGTATTCCGTTGTGTAAATGTACCACAGCTTTTTTAATCCACTCATCTACTTATGGGCACGTGGGCTGATTCCAGATCTTGGGTATTGTAATAATGCTTCAGTGAGCATAGGGGTGCATATATTCTTTTGAATCAGTATTTCAGGTTACTTCATATATATTCCCAGAAATGGAATTGCTGGGTCATAAGGCAGTTCTCTTTTAATTTTTTGAGGTAACTGTATACTGCTTTCTATAGTGGCAGCACCAGTCTGCATTCCCACCAGCAGTGCATGAAGGTTCCCTTTTCTCCACACACTCAGCAACACTTGTTTGTTGATTTATGGATGATAGCAATTCTGACAGGTATGAGGTGTATCTTATTGTGGGTTTGATTTGCATTGTTCTGATGATTAGTGACGTTGAGCATCTTTTCGTGTCTATTGGTCATCTGCGTGTCCTCTCTGGACATGTGTATATTCAAGTGCTCTGACCATTTTTTAATTGGGTTGTTTGTGTTTTTGGTATTGAGTTGTATAAGTTCTTTATAAATTTTGGGTATTAACCCCTTATCAGATGTATCATTGGCCAATATCTTCTTCATTCACTGGGTGGTCTTTTCATTTTGTTAATGGTTTCCTTTGTTGTGCAAAAACTTTTCAGTTTAATGTGGTCCCATTTGTTTATGTTTTAGTTTTGTTTTCCTTTCTTGAGGAGATATATCAGAAACAATATTACTACAAGAAATGTCTGAAATTTTACTTCCTATACTTTCTTCTAGGATTTTTATAGTTTCTAGCCTTACATGTAAGTCTTTAACCCATTTTGAGTTTATTCTTGTGCATGGTGTAAGAAGGTGGTCTGGTGTTTTTTGTTTTGTTTTGTTTTGCATGTATGTGTCCAATATTCCCAACACCATTTATTGAGAGACTATCTTTATCCCATTGTATGTTCTTGCCTCCTTTGTCAAATATTAATTGACTGTAAAGGTGTGGGTTTATTTCTGGGCTCTCTATTCTGTTGCATTGATCTATATGTCTGTTTTTATGCCAGTACCATGCTGTTTTGATTACTGTGGCCTTGTAGTATAGTCTGATATCAGGGAGTATAGTTGATTTCAGGTAGCATGATTCCTCCAACTTTGTTCTTCTTTCTCAAGATTGCTATTGCTACTCAGGGTCTTTTGTGATTCCATATAAATTTTGGGAATATTTATTCTACTTCTGTGAAATACACCATTGGTATCTTGACAAAAATTGCATTCAATCTATAGATTGCTTTGCGTTGTATGGACATTTTAATTATGTTAATTCTTCCTACCCATTAACATGGTATATACTTGCACTTATTTTTATCTTCTTCAATTTCTTTCTTCAGTGTCTTATAATTTTTCAAGTACAGGTCTTTTTTCTTTTTATCCTCACCTGAGGACATTTTTTGCATTTATCTTAAGATAGAGCAGGAAGGGGGGGGGGGGGGAGAAACATTGATGTGAGAGAGAGAGACATCAACTGGTTGCCACTCACACAACCCCAACCGGGGCTGGGGACAAACTACAATCAAGGTACATGCCCTTAGCGAGAACCAAACTCGGGACCCTTCATCCATGGGCCAAAGCTCTAACCGCTGAACCAAACCGGCCAGGGCTCAAGTACAGGTCTTTTTGCATCCTTGTTTAAATTTATTCCTAGGTATTTTATTTTATTATGATACAATTATAAATGGGATTGTTTTCTCAGTTTTCCTTTCTGATAGTTCACTTTGGGTGAACTATCAACTGATTTCTGGATTTGTACTAAACTCATTAGTTTTAGTCGTTTTTTTGGTGGAATCTTTAGGGTTCTATATATATAGTGTCATGTTATTTTCAAATAATGACAGTTTTACTTTCTCCTTTCCAATATGGATGCCTTTTATTTCTTCTTATCTGATTGCTATGACTAGGACTTCTAGTACTATGTTGAATAAGAATATGGGTAAAACTACACTTCACAAAATTGATTAATACCAACTAACAATTGGTAATTGCTATTCCTTAAGGGGAAGGGGAGTGCCGTTAGCTGGAAAAGATACTCACTTGCAACATATCTCACACTTATTAGGATTCGCCATAATTAAGAATTTAAATGTAGGACTCTGTTTCTAGGTAATTATATTTTGAGTTTAAAACTTACTTTATCAAGCACATTTTTTTGGATACAAATTGTATATTGGGGACTACCTTCTAAAACATTCCTATACATTATGAATCAGCAAACTATTGTACTCAAGGTCCACAGTAAGTATTTTAGGCTTTTCAGGTTATCTACTCTCTGTTGTAACTACTCCATAAAACAAATAAAGTCATTGATAATAAAAAGAATGAGCGTAACTGTGCTCCAATAAAACTTCATTTACAGAAATAAGGAACAGGCCAGATTTGGCCATCGGCACTAAATGGAAAAATCTCAAGCTACCCTGTTTATTTTAGTCTATTTTCTCATATTCTGCATTCTCTATGTATAAATTCTCAACATTTATTTTACTTAGTTACCTCACGGAAACCGAGGGAAGATGAAAAAGATGGCCAGGCATATAAGTTCGTATCACGCTCTGAGATGGAAGCAGATATTAAAGCTGGGAAATATTTGGAACATGGAGAATATGAAGGAAATCTCTATGGAACCAAGATTGATTCTATTCTTGAAGTTGTCCAAACTGGACGAACTTGCATTTTGGATGTCAACCCACAAGTAAGCTACATGGATTCCAAAGCTGTTTTGTTTTATTTCCTGTGGAGTTTTGGTTTTAATTTGTGACTATGAAGGTAGCTCCTTCACTTCATTACCTGTTGGTGGTAGAGAACCTTTTTATGTGTCCACTAGTTAAATACATCTCTCATCAATTAGCCAAGCACTAGAAACATGATAGAAGTTTTTATTTAAAAAATATGTTTTTATTTCAGAGAGAGAAAGGGAGAGGGAAAGAGATAGAAACATTGATGAGAGAGAAGCATCAATAGGCTGCTTTCTACATGCCTCTACCAGGGATTAAGCCCATAACTTGGCATGTTCCCTGACCAGAATCTAACCAGCAACTTCCGGGTACATGGGAGGATGCTCAACCAACTGAGGCATACCAGCCAGGCGGTAGAAGTTTAATATTTATTTATTTGTTCAAGTAGTGTATAATTACATATATTAGGAAATGTTAAATTTAAAATAGGCTGCAAAATAGTCACGGGGATATAAAGCACAGCATAGGAAATACAGTCAATAATATTACAGTAACTGGTGCCAGGTGGGTACTGGAAATATCGAGGGAACGCTTTGTAAAGTGTATGATTGTCTAACCTCTACGCTGTACACCTGAAACTAATACACAATAATATTGAGTGTAACTGTAATTGAAATAATTTTTTTTTTTTAATCCTCACCCGAGGACATTTTTCCATTTTTTGTTCAGATAGAGTGGGAGGGAGAGAGAGAGAAAGAGAGAGAAACATCGATGCGAAAGGGACACATCGAGTGGCTGCCTCCCGCACAACCCAACCAGGGCCGGGGACAAACTGCAACCGAGGTACGTGCCCTTAGCGGGAACCGAACCCGGGTCTCTCTGGATCCCAGGCCGATGCTCTAACTGCTGAGCCAAACCGGCCAGGGCGAAAGAATTTTTTAAATTAAAAATATATAAACAAAAAGAATAAAAATTTGAAGTCACACCACACACACAGAATTCCTTTCTCATTTTATTCCATATTTCCCTCACTGACCCATCCAACCCTCTGCATTCAACCCAACCTCGCTTCCCTCCTCAGAGGTAAATATTATTGAGTTTAGTGTGTATCTGTCTGTCTTTTTAGTATGCCTTAAGCAAAAATATATATATAGCCCATGGACCAAAGAGTCGCAAGTTCAATTCCAGTCAAATTGCAATACTTCGGTTGCAGTTTGATCCCCGGCCCTGGTCAAGGTCATGCGGGAGGCAACCAATCAATGTGTGTCTCGCACATCGATGTTCCCCCCCCCATCTGAGAATAAATGGAAAAATATCCTCAGGTTAGGATTTAAAATAAACACACACACACACAATGTAATGGGCTTTCTATTTTTGTTGATTTTTTTTCTACATAAATGGAAAAGTCCTATACAAATTCTTTAGCTTTTTTTGTCAGATAATATTTCTTTCCTTTTTTTAAAAATCTGCACTAGAGGATACCTTTTCACTGATCCTCAGAGTGGAAGAGAGGGAGAGAAAAAGAGAAAATCATAGATGTGAGACATCAATTGGTTGCCTCCCACACAACCCAGACTGGGGCAGGAATCGAACCCACAACCCTTCACTGCTGAACCAAACTGGCCAGGGCTAAACAGTAGTTCTTTTTTTTTATTCCTCACCCGAGGATATTTTTCTGTTTATCTTCAGATATAGTGGGAGTGGGGGAGAGAGAGAGAGAAACATCAGCATGAGAGAGACACATGGATTGTTGCCTCCCACATGACCCTGAGCAGGGCCAGGGACTGAACCACAACTGAGGCATGTGCCCTTGACCAGAATCAAACCCAGGACTCTCTGGGCCAAGGCCAGTCACTCTAACTATGGGGCCAAACCGGCCAGGGCTAACCAGTATTTCTTGAAGATCTTTTCATATCAGTTACTGTCAAGCTTTTTTTTTATTCTTTTTAATTGCTGTATAGTATTTCATAATATAAATGTGTATTAATTTATATAATCACTCTCCAATTAATAGACACTGAAATTATTTCCAGCTTTTTCAATATTAAGAGAATTCTACAATTCACATAGAAAACATTTACATCATTCTTGATGACTTTGGGTCCTTCATTAAGAGTCACGCTTTCCTTTGTTCAAGAGGATCAGAGAGTAATGAGACTGAGGTCAGAACACAATAAATGATCACTGTTTTAGAGAACTACTGCATGCAGTCCAAAGGATAGAAGTGGGGCAAGTGTTATACTGTATTCGTAATCCTTAGGAAGAGGGCAAATAGACTTTGATTGTTTAGTAAAAATTAAAAGGTAGTGATACAAATTCTAATCCTGTGTAAATTGGTATGTGATTGTTCCCCTGCACAGGCCCTGAAAGTCCTGAGGACGTCCGAGTTCATGCCCTACGTGGTATTCATCGCTGCTCCGGAGCTGGAGACACTACGTGCCATGCACAAAGCTGTGGTGGACGCTGGCATCGCCACCAAGCTTTTGACGGTGAGCAGTTCTTTTTTGGTTGACAATATTACTTCCTCTTATAGATTGTCCTTTTCCTTTTCTTTGGAGCGTGTTTAATCCTATATAATCATATTTATGAAATAAATATACTGCGTAAGGTATTATAGAATAAAAATTCATTCACTAGATGTAGTTAGGGTTTGGAACAGTATTGCTTTTACTTAAAAATGAGTGTTCACTTTATTTTAAAACAGATGTTTACTCCCCCTGTGTAAATACAGCGGGCCAGTATTAAAATACGCATATTAATTCACCCCCTCATTTTACCAATGAGGAAACTGGGCCCCAAAACCAGTTTTGTTTCTGTTCCATGTTTTCTTTTGTTCTCCCTCTCTCCTTTCTCATATTATGGAAATTTTTAAATATGTACCACCAAGGAATAAACATGATCCTCCTTGTGCCATCACCTAGCTCAATAACGTGGCCATTTTTGTTTCTCTCATTTCCTCACTTTGAATTATTTTGAAGCAAATCTTTGATACTGTATCAACCATAAATATTTAGTATTTATCTTGAAAAGATAAAGACTTTTTAAATATAACCATAATATCATTAACATGTAAAAAAATTAAGAGCAGCTTCTTAATATCATCAATATACAGCCCTTACTTGAATTTTCCCAAGATTTATAATATTTTTTACAGCTGCTTTGTTTAAATCAGGATCCAAATAAGGTCAGCACATTGCATGTACTTGATGTCTTCTAAATCCTTTTTCCCCAACTTACTGAGGTGTGATTGACATACAATAAACTATACATATTGAAAATGTACAACTTAACACATTTGAGCATATGTATACACCCATGACACCATCGTAGTCAAGGTAATGGACATGTCCATCACCTCCAAAAGACTAGATTTTGAGAATTAATATTAGCATCACAGTAAAGTATCCAACCTACTTATTTCTTATGTTCACTTTGAGTTGGTATTTGAGCAAGTAAATGTACATTATAATAAAAACATTGCCTTTTAAAACTCTTTGACAGGACTCTGACTTGAAGAAAACAGTGGATGAAAGTGCACGAATTCAGAGAGCTTACAACCACTATTTTGATTTGATCATCGTGAATGACAATCTCGACAAAGCCTTTGAGAAACTACAAACTGCCATAGAGAAACTGAGAATGGAGCCACAGTGGGTCCCCATCAGCTGGGTTTACTGATAATTCAATAAGGTTCACAATTAAAATACAACTTTTAGAAAGTGACTATAACAAGTAAAGCTTCTGCTGAGAAAATACGTGCGCAGACAGAAGATCCGCCAAGTCCAGGCATCTTCGCTGTGTAGATTGAATGACCAGTACACTATTCTGAATTTTTATAGAAAATGTGGTTGGGAAGGTGTACTAATATATAATTTATCTTAATTTTTCTAACTTTTTATGGACAATCTATTCATATCACATAAAGAAATGCGTTGAAGCATTTTGTATATGTTTTGATTCAGTACCTTTGCCTTTTTCATCACAGGAATTTTCAACTCATTCATTGGAATATTGGTCTCACATTTTCACTGTGATAATGAATACTTGAAATAGTTTTGTAAAGTTGTCATTTAGTTCAATATTTAACTAGTGAAGGGTCAGTTACTCTGATTGGGAGAAAATAGTAGGTATTGGCTTTCTTTCCTAATATACTTTCTTACAGAAGCAGAACTTTATGCCAGTGCCACAGCCAGTCTACCACCATCGAATCTGACCTCAGAAGTCTGCTCGATGAGAGTTTGTTATTTCAGAGACATATGGCTGTCCATTCTGATTTATACAGATATATTGTTTTTCCCCCTTCATTTCTGTCTTCAGTGAAGAAGTGAAGAGCAGTACCTTGCACTCTCATTTGTTGCAAAGACAAGCTGATATTAACGTGTATACAGCACGCAGCGCTGGGCAGGCTCAGAGAGTGCCTTCTGTAACCCTTACAGTTGATTTATTTTCACAGTAAAAGTTAAACTGACAAAAATGAACCTACTTCTTCATACAGTTTTTTATTAGGAGAGAGATGGTCAGCAGCTGTAGAATGCCTCTGCATATTTCTGGGGTGCAGAAAAAGGCCTCTTGAGTGTGCTTTTTGAAGTATGATGCAATCATTAAGGTGTGTGTATGATTTGTTGTGTTGAGAAACCAATCCACTGAATGATTTTTAAAATTTGGAAATAATTGTCAGCTGTTTTATCTATATATAACATATACATTATATAATATGTGCATTGTATGTATTATATAATATATGTTAAATAATGTGTGTGGTTTTTTTACATTTCTGTAAGGAAGTGCACTTGTTTAATGATTAGGGAAAAAACAGTTCTCTAGATGCATTAATGTATACGAATTTCCAAATTCACTGCAGTTGATACCTTCCTTTAGGATAAGTCAGCTATATTTTATATTGCTGCTAGCTTTTCACATAAAAGTACTCACACTTAAAAGGCTAGGTGCCGGCTGCTGAGTTTGCTTTCCCATCACCAGGGCTGTCCCGGGAGCAGCAGGGCCGGAGCAGGAGGGAACGCGTGGCGGGGAGAGGTGCGCACACTTGGTTTGAAGTCTTTTCACAGTTAAAACTCAAGTTTTTGTATTGTTGAGATTGGAAATCCATACGTATTTTTTAATTCCAGAATTTCATATTCAGAACACAAATTCATATTCTTTGTCCTAGGATAGGAAATGGGGGGCAAAATGGCTCACATTCTTTTAATAACTTTGATAACTTTTAAACCACATACATTTCCATCACATTGTTGGCTTCTCAGAGCAACAGAAATCAAGCATAGTGTTGAGGTGATGTCCTATGACTTAGTGTTTCAAGACACTGCAGACTTTAAGAGAAATTTTATTTCCACATTCTCCAGTGTGCCTTCATCTTTGAGCAGCTTTGGGATCCTTGTAGCAGCACAGTTTATCCACAAATTATTTCAATCATCTTGGCAACATAGAGATGATTTTTACATCAGATGTATTTCTAGCTTTGTTATAGGGTATAAAATGCATATTATTTAGAAAATAGTCTACATGTAAAGAAGTTATTTCTATTACAAATGATACTCATCACTAACTATTAGTCAATACACTCTAGCTCCTTCCTAATATGAAATAAAACGACGCAGTTTAGTTCCTTTCAGCCTAGAAGCCAGAGTTGAAGAGAATACATGTAGCAAAGCTCGTTGTACCTCAGTGAAGAGTCAAGTCCCAGCTGCGTCTGCAGGAACCAGCAGATTCTCCCACAACAGTGAGGGTAGGGCTGAGGTCATTAGCTTTACTGAAGAGAAAATGGTTAAAAGTGATGTTGAGCAATTGTTAGTTGTTAAAATACACACACACACACACACACACACACACACACACACACACGTGCGCACGTGCACCTATGCTTTTGGGAAACATGATGTGCCTGTCAGTACCCTGGTGCACCTGAGGGTTCGTTCCTTGGGGGCAGGTGAGGATCACATTCAGGGCATGACTGTTTATGTACAACTAAAAAATATACATTTATAAATGTATTTTATTTTCAAACATACAAATACCCAGAGTTGATGTCTCTGGATAAGTAATTTAACCCTATCTACTGGAATATATGTGATGTGTTATAAGTAGAATTTCATCTTTATTACAACCATGCCTTGATTTTGCATTCTCAATTTCTGTTTGATGTTTGGGAAATACCAAATATCCAACACATCAGGACCTGATTTACTTTTGCCAACTCTAACTATACAATTGCTGAACATAGCTTACTAAAAGCCATTATCATAAACCCAGTAAGACTACAGCAAAAGTAGCCTGAACCTAGATTCTAGAATCTAGCAAAATTTATTTACAATTGCTTATAAGGACAAGTGTTCCTGAAACGAACAAATTGGTTATTAATACAAATTCAGAAAAAGCAAATTAGCAATAAAATACAATAACGTGGCATTACAGATTATGGCCAGATACCAGCTGCTTTGACCAGAATATCCCAATAACAATAAAAGATGATCTTTACTTTAAAATTTATTAAATTGGTATTTCTATGTATATAACAAGTGTCATGATCGTGATTGGGGTTGATTTTCAAGATGGATAGCCATGGAATTAGGTACAATTATTTTGAATTGAAAACATAAAAGTTTGAAAATTGGTCAAAATAATGATCTGCTTAACAGCATGCTTTTACAAAAACTTCTGAAACAACACTCCATTTTCCAGAAATCACAGTCTAGAGAGCCAATAATTTTGTAGTAATGAACCTTTATACTAAGTATGGAAAAAGCAATCCTGAAATTTTATGTATATAGATAGCAGGTCATTTTTTATATGTTTGAGTCACCATATATATAATATATGTATACAGCTATGTGTATAATATGTAAAATTCTCCCAAAATCCATGAATAATAAAACTAAATATATTCACCCATGTAATTATAACTAGTGTTGTTAAATTTGTAATTACTTCCAAATTCTTATACATTCTGGAACTTTTTTCACATTGTTTGAAAGGGCTTTGGTCTTACCTTGAGTCAAGTACTGATCTCCTTTTTGAAAAATAAATGAAGTAGTAAGCCCATAAAATTAACATTATAACTTTAATTTCCTTAAGGAAAAAGGAGAGGCCTAGATGGAAACCTCTTGGGAAATACTTAAGCCTTCTAATGAATTCATGATAGAGTTTAGGTTTAGAGATATGGTACCTGCCCTCCTCTTGTTGCAAAGGATGTGCTGTAAGAATTCACGTAACAACATCTGTAATATATTTTGAGTTTTTGGAACAAATTCAGTATTTTAAATGATTAGATTATTGTATATAGTACAAGTGAATGTTATTCACAAACTGAAGGATGAATACCTTTGACTAATCAGCATCATATCAGTTTTTATGTAAATATTGTATACCTGAGGAAGATAACAATTCTATAATTTTTTAAGGTAAGATTATTTTTTAAATGGATTTTTGTTAGCTTCAAGTTTTATTAATTTTTAAAATAGTTCCCATAATTTGTCATGTTACTTTCTGTGTTCCTGGAATGATTTAGTGTAGAGAATAAACAATGAGTCCTTAAGCCACCAAAAAGTGAAGGAAATGATTATATCAAATTTAAAAGCATAGTTTTCACTTCTGCAATATACTGCTTTACTTTCTTTAAAATAGTCTCTCCCTTGATAAAAATAGAGACAGTGTACTTCTACTGACTGAGATACTAATTCTTACTCCTGACCATGTGACCCTTGGTAAAATTTATATATCTCTTTACTTTTAATATTCTATTTGTTAAATAAGGCTAACTTAATACTTGTCTTCAGCTTAAATTACAAGAAGTAATTTGTAATTCTGATATGGCAAATGCTAAACTAGAAAATCTTTATTAGGCTACTTTGTTTATTATATGAATTCGCTTACATTGAAGTTACTTATCTTTTAGTTCTTTTAAAGTGTGCCTCTTTTGGAGCTAACAGTACATGGTGTATGTACACTATTCTGGAATCTTATCTCCAGTTTTAAAACAGCTCTGAGGACCCATTCCAGCCTAGAAGAGGGTCAGTTCTGCTCTCAGTGGCCCTGGGCCACTCCCGGGCAGGAGGTCCATTTTAGTTTAGAATCTCATTCCAAGTCCAGCCCTTAGCAAGTCCTTGCTGCCAACCAGACCACTTACCGATCAGTTTTAAGGAAGTAATCCAGTCTACTCTTCCATCCAAAACAAGCTGATCTTTGCCCCTTAAAGCTGCCCTACCCTATTCTTAGCCTGAAACTTTTCACCGCAGCCCATATTGTTTAATTGATAGTATTAAGTTTAAAAGGTGTCTTTCCTAATAGGGAGAAACATTCACAGTTAGGTCATTAGTGGACCACTAGTCTGACAGGAATGCATTTTAGTGACCTCTCTCTCATGGGTGATGCAGCACTATGACGATAACCGACTTGCGTCCACACACCCAAGTCCGTCAGGTGCCGGTTCTCTCTTTTTTTCACTACTTGCTTTTACTGTTTTCTAATCTCCGGCACAAACTGAATGAACACATCTACAGTTAATATCAAATACTCTGCTTGTAAACCTGTCCCACCGGACAGGCTACCAGAGAGCAGAAGCCCAAAGGTCTCATTTTAACAGTTGGGATTTGAAGTCCTTGTACTTCAGAAACAGCAAGCCAGGGGTAGAAGCATCTGGCAGCCCCACCTGCAGTTTGGTTTTCCTCGCGTAGTCAAGGCGGCCTGGGAACTTGGAGGAAGGGGAAAAGCGCGGAGATGGAAAGCTGCTCAGCTGTAAGTGGCCTTGCTCCTACCCTCCAACCGGAGGGATGGGGAGCGCGTGGCCACGCGGCTTGGAGCACACAGCGTGTTCTGGGAGAGGCGATCCAAGGGAGAGACGCCCGAGTCTCAGCAGACCCAGACCTGAGGAATGGCTCATCTCGTCTGCTCTTGAATGCGGGAGGAACTTCCTCTGGCTGGGTGCTGCCTTGGGAAAGGAACTGGCTCCCGTCTCCGCAGAGGAAGGGGTGTCTTGGATTTCGCGGTGCAGGGGGGAGCACGGGGGTCGGGCCGTCATTTCCTACATCTTGGGCTGAGCACCCTTAGAGCCGGTGATGAGTATGTGCTGTGAAAAGCTTCTTTGGGGGATTTTCTTCCCCATTTCGTTTTGGTACATCTTTATTTTGAACACAAATGCATGCTCTTTTTAACCTCGAGTCTGTGAAGTGATTGTGGAACTTTTTTTTTTTTTTAATGGAGGACAAAATCTTGTTAGCAACCTAAAAATCAGAGCTGAACGAGCCGCTAAAGTAAATTTCTGATGGAAAAGTTGAAAAGTGAAAATTGCTACTACTTTCCAATTAATTGTATTGCTAATTCCCGTATAAAGGAAACATGACTGTTCTTGTATAAATAAAATTGTCCTGCAGTACAATTAAGTATTGCTTTTTCAGAAGCTGTCCCTATAACATTTTTCCTTTCACGTATTTCCATATGCTGTCCAAAACAAAAATTACTGAAATGTTCAATCTGTGAAATTCCATATGCCTGGTAAAATATTTTTGTATGTAAAAAGAAATAAATATTTAATATTGGAAAAATGTAGTGTTTTCATGTATAAGTAGAATTACAGATAATAAAATACAGAGGCTATGAGCTTAGCTTTGGAAACTTCCTTTAAATGATAATGGTTTTTTTGCCCCGGCCGGTTTGGCTCGGCGGTTAGAGCGTTGGCCTGCGGTCCTGAGAGACCCGGGTTCAGTTTCCCCTAAGGGCGCAGTTTGTCCCCGGCCCTGGTCGGTTGTGCGGGTGGCAGCCACTCGATGTGTTCCTTTCACATCGATGTTTCTCTCTCTCTCTCTCTGTTCCTCTCTCTCCCTCTACCTGAACAAAAAATGGAAAAATGTCCTCAGGTGAGGATTAAAAAAAAAAAAAAATGCTAATGGTTTTTTATAAAAAGCCTCTAATGTCATTTAGTTTTTCCCACCAAAACAAATAGGTAAATTTTTCACCTGCCTCTCCTCTCTAACAAGGAAAGAATAACCACGTCTCCTCTACACCAGCCCAAGTTTCAAAGACAACATACTCAAGGGAAGACATTCAAAGACAGAGAAGACTAATTAAGATTAAGAAAAGGCCGCTGTGCTTGGACCGCACGAGGTGACACCAGGACCACTTCCCAGCGACCAAGACAGCAGCCCTGGCGGGGAGGACGAGTCTGCCGGTACCGGTCAGCCGCAGGCCTGCAGTGAGGAGGGGGTGGGCCCGCCTCGCTGGCCAGGGGACCAGGGTGAGTCCAGGAAGCCCGTTCCAGAAGGCCGACTTCGCTGTGCTTCCCCAAGCTGGATTCTGGGATTCCACACCTCATACGTAAGAAATGGCTCGTCCAGTGCCTTCCTGATGTCGCCCAAAGCATCAGGTGTTACATACAGCAGTTCCGAGTACTGTTGTTTCACTCAGTGTCATTTCATTCTAACGATGAGGGAAAAAATCAATTACTGGCCGGGGCCATCGTCTGTGTGGCGTGTGCAGTTCTTGCCGTGTCTGCGCGGGTTTTCCCCTGGTGCTCTGGTATCCTGCCACATCCCAGAGAGGGGCATGCTGGGTTCGGGCGTGTCTACATGCCCCAGTCTGTGTGGCATGTGGGTAGCCCTGCGATGGAAGGGCATCCTGTCCAGGCTGGTCTCCCCTTGAGCCCCCAGCTGCCTTAAAGGCTCCACCACCCGGAACCCTGAACTGGTTTTTCCAGGTTGGAAAACCATTCTCATACTTGTTTTTATTCATCTTTCTTAAATGTTTGTATAGCTCACATCTGTTTCATTGTTTAATATTTGAAGTGTTCAGAGTCTCTATAAGTTTGGGGATGTTTTTGTGAGTGGAAATAGGCTGTACAAACTTGTACTTTTTGACTCCTGTTTATATCAATTAGCTTCTGGGTAAAAATGGTTTTGTCAGCCCTGGCCAGTTTGGCTCAGTTATTGAGTGTTGGCCTGTGGCCCAGAGAGTCCTGGGTTCGGTTTCCGCTAAGGGCACATACCACAAAAAAAAAGGTTTTGTTACGTGTTATTTTGTTTCAAGTCGCAGTTTCCAAGAACCTAATCAACAGTGAGGACTTACTGCAGTTCATTCTTCCGTCTTATACTACCTGTCAGTTTTCTGTCACCACAGTAACCAATTATGACACATTTAGCAGCTTCAAACACAGACTTGTTATCTCAGTTCTGGGGTTCGAACCCAGCACGGGTCTCAGCAGGCTAAAACCGAGGTGCGTCGGCCTCCCTGCCCCTCCGGAGGCCTGGAGGAGGCTCGCTCGCGGGCCGCTGGCGACTGGTTCCAGGCAGTTGCCGAGCTGGTGTCCCCACGTCCTCACTGCTGTCAGACAGGCGGCTCTCCTTGACCCAGCAGCACTGACCCTGTCGTGGTAACCTTCCCTGCGTGCTCCTCGGCCAGCGCTCTCGCTGACCCTTCTGCCTTCTTTCTTTGAGGGGCCCACCCAGATCGTCCAGGATAGCCTGTCGTCTCAAGGTCCCCAACCTTAAAGCCACCATAAAGTCCCCTTTTGTCATGTAAGGTAACGATCACAGGTCCCAGACACCTTTAAGAGGCCACCGTCGGGGTAACTGGCCTGTGTTAGGGCAACTGTAGAAACAGCTAAAATGCCTTAGCTGCCTGTTTGATGTAACCCAAGCTTTTGACCCTGGCTGGGTTGGCATATTTTCTTTCTGTCTGAAATCTCTCCTTGTTTTTTTTTTGTTTTTTGTTTTTGTTTTTGGTGTTTTGGTATAGTTTTATTATTATTATTTGGAGGATAATGCATACAAAATTCTAACAGGAATAGAAGGGTGAACCACCCTCATCCCCACCTCTAAATCTTCTCCCCAAAGGACCCCCCCCCCCCGCCATTGGGTTTCTAGTGAACTTGTGAGGTTTCCCATGATTGTGATATGTGTGTATCTGTTTTTCACACGGGTAGACTCACGTTGCACACTCTGTCTGCGGTTTGTTCTGTATACTTATTTTATTTCAGGAAACCAGGGGGAAGGTGTGGGTTGTGCCACCATTGTAGCTCCATGTTCACTTGGGCATGTTCCTTTCCAGTTTGTGCACAAGGTGCTGTTTTTGTTTTTTTTAATCCTCACCCAAGGATACTTTTCCATTTATCTTCAGATAGAGTGTGAGGGAGAGAAAGAGAGGGAGAGAAACATCGATGTGAGAGAGACACATCAACTGGTTGCCTCTCGCACAACCCTGACCAGGGCCAGGGACCAAACCACAACCGAGGTACGTGCCCTTAACCGGAATCGAACCCACAACTCCTGTCCATAGGCCGACGCTCCAGTCACTGAGCCAAAGCGGCCCAGGCAAGGTGCTGCTCTTTGATGCTGTTGCCACCACAGTGTGCACCTCTGTACCCTTTTCTTCTCATGTGTCATGAGTACTTTGCATGAGGTTTAGCCTCATTCTTAAAAGGTGATGAAAGGGTTATTTGCTTTCATCAAAAGCTGAAGAGCAGGAAGGGGAGAAGTAGATGATGATGAGGTAAAAACCATGTATTGAGTAACAAGTTTCTCTCCCAACAGCCAGTGCTCCTGGTCCCCACCTCCTCCCTGCTCCTAAATTACACTCTGGCAATAGGGCTTAGCAGTGGACCCCGGGGCACCAGGGCCAGTCCAGGCGGTTTGTAGTAGAAGGATGTAAAATAAGAAAAAGCAAAATACACACCATTCCTTTGATATCATATGTATTTTACAAATTAAACATCCAGCATGCAAGGGAGATCGGCACGTTGTTCTCGACAGAATTAGCCTGTTCCCCGAAGCGTGGCAAAGGCAAATAAAATGCATGGAGCCAGGCCCCTAAGGAAGCGGGCCCACTCTTGGGCTTTTTAGTGTAATTTTATTTAGGAGAATATGTGTGCTCCAGTGGTATTCATGGTTCATTTCTGTCCTGCAGAGCTTCCAGCACGTCCATAACGTAGCCTTCAATGAAAAGAAATCGCTTTCCCACAGCATTCAAGATTTAAAGTGAATTTTTGGATCAAAGTCTCAGACCCATCTGCTTTTGTATAACAGGAAGAAAGTGGGAAATACAAGTGATAGATGAGCCATTTTTCTGCAGGGAGAAAAGTCAGTGTGTGCTGGCTTAGACTCCTCAGCCCTCGTCCAGCTCCGCAGGTGCTGGAGTTTAGCTCGCACCCTGGTGGCTAACCTCGAGGTGATACACGGTGCAAAAAGTCACTGCTGCTTGAATTCTTGCAAATTCATTTCCTTGATCAACTTTTAACTTGGCTTTGACCTAAGCCCCAAAGTAGTACCTTAACGATGCTGAAAAGTCCGCAGCCTTGGCTGGCAACGTGTCCTTGGGATTCGCCTGTGACGTTATTGACGAGCTCTGCCTAAAGCGCGGAGTCCATGCAGGCTTATGTAAAGAATGAGTGGGAAAACGTTCGGGACTCTGCAGGTGACAGCTCTGACGGACGACTGGCGTCTTTCCAGCTGAATGTCGGCTGTGGCAAGCAGGTGCTGCACGATCCCAAACCTCCCTGCATCCCTCAGAGGGGCCAGGGCTGAGTCTTCAAGATCAGATTCTCCATCAGCGGACAGGGCGCGGAGCTGAAACGGCACATTTGAAACACTTTCACTTAAACACGTTACAGAAAATCCACATTGTTGGACAGTAACGCACTTCTAGCTCATTATGAAAAAAATAAATTTAAGTTGCTATTCAAACTTCCCAAATAGAGGAGGAAAGCCTCAATATGTAACAAGATATATCTGGGCCAGGATCTCAGGCCTGATGGTTCTAGTTCGCCTGGAGTCCTCTAATCCCTACGCCCTGAACTCTGCCTGCTACTAGCCCCATTAACACAGTAGGTCAGGAAGGTCAGAATGCAACCTTCTCGTACATGCAGTGCAGTATGTAAGGCTTGTTTGATGTTTTTAAAGAAAATTTTAGAATATTTGCACTTGCGCAAACTCCTCGAAGGGGTAGGCACCATAGTTTATCTTATGCTTCTGCCTCAAGAACCTGTGCCCTTGTTCTTCCTGCGACCTGGATACTCTTCCTCCAGGGTCCCATGCAGACCTTTCCGTCTGCTCCCCGCTGCCGGCTGAAATGCCACATTAGAAGGGCCTTGCCCTTCACCCATCCACCCCACCCACAGCCACCAGCACATTGTCTTCTTGTGTGTACTAGGTCCGCAGTTATCTCGACAGTCGCTGGTCTGTCCAGGAGAGCAGGGCCTGGTCTGTCGTGGTCACCACTTACCCTGCCTGGAACTAGACCCTCCGTGTTCCGCATGAATGTTAGTTCTCCTGAGAGGTCACTGTTCTCACTGCGGTCGCTGAGAACAGTAGGAACTTAGCGTTCTGGGATCTTGGTCAGGGCCTGTGACACTTTATTTTTTAATCTTCAGTAAACAGGTATTCAGATCAGATTAGGAATGTAGAGAGTACATTTTAAAGTAAAAAAAAAAAAAAAAAAAGCCCTGGCCGGTTTGGCTCAGCGGTTAGAGCGTCGGCCTGCGGTCCGGAGAAACCCGGGTTCGGTTCCCGCTAAGGGCATGTACTTCGGTTGCAGTTTGTCCCCGGCCCTGGTTGGTCGTGCGGGTGGCAGCCACTCGATGTGTCCCTTCACATCGATGTTTCTGTCTCTCTCTCCCTTCCTCTCTCTCCCTCCCACTCTATCTGTACAAAAAATGGAAAAATATCCTCGGGTGAGGATAAAAAAATGAAGCCTAAAAAGGATGCATGAATTTTAACCAAATCTAAAGAATTCCGGAAGCGTTTAGAGTAATAATAACCTCACGGAAAGTGGAGGCAGCTTGGCCCGCGGCCGACGGGCGGCACTCATTTGAATACAGAAGTACTTGGGTGTCTATTATCAAAATCAGCCTTACAAAACTGCACCTTGCAGACTGGCCAAATACACTTCACGCAGTGTAACCGCAGGCCTAAGCGCTTGGCCCAGCCGGTAAACCACCGCTTATGCTTCGAGAGTGGATTAGGCACGAGCTCCGCAGCCCAGGGCTTAAGGATGAGCCCCGGGGCTGGTGCAGAAGTGCCGAGCGGCATCCAGCCTCCTTCTCCGAACAGCTGCCAACCCGCACTTCCAGGAATAAGAGTCACCCGGAGGGTGGTGTGAGATTAACACTCTACCCGTGATTCTAACTCACCTTCTTACCATTTCTTTTACCAGTTCGGCACACGTGTTCGTGTGTCTGACACTGTCCTCCCAGAAGGCCTTCAGAAAGCCTCTCAAGGTTACTCTGGCCACCAGATAAGAACAGACAGAAATGCAGGTGGATTTTTGTGCCCTATTCTAAGTAAATGCCTGTAAGAAACACATGATACCCAAGTTCCTGGGGAGGCAAGAACCTCACTGTCTTAAGAGTTGTTGCAATATCTAAGGGAGGTCATGTGAAGACGCCCAGGAGGTCTAAAGAAAAATGAGTTCTTAGCCCATGAAGGCAAACAGAGGACTTTGTGGGTGGGGAGTTTGAACCAGGGAATAGCAGCCAAGCTGGAGCTCGGAGTGTGTCCTAAGGGCTACTTGTCCAACTCCAGCAGAGCTGGTCTGCAAGGAAGATGTCAGCTAAGCATGAGCGTGTTGGGAGAGGGACTTACCTAATGCGGTCTTGGCAGTATTCTCTCTCCCATATACTTTCTGATTTCTGATTGCAGTCGATGACCTTATAGATACTTGGTAAAGACTAACTAGGGACATGCTAGGTGCTCAGTTGTTACAAAATGGAGCTGGGCTACCACGGCAGACCTACCGCCGAGCTCATCATTGCAGACAGATATGAAGCGCAGTGTTTCCATAACCAAACCCCACACTAGCGTCTGCCCTCAGCTGGCCACAGGACACGTGCGCCGGCACATTTCCAAGTAGTTCGGGTTCTGTGGTCAAAGCACAGCAATGCAGCATTCCCCTGGCAGGTGGAATCTGCCTTTGGTTGTGAATGACATTTAAACTGCTGCTTGGCACGGTGCCTCGCTGCAGTCCTCAGATCCTTTCCTGTGCAGAGAAGCGCCAAAGGCACGAACCACAGTGCTCAAATCTCCCTGGGGGGAGGGGGGAGGGAACACTCAGGGCCCTCGCTAGGCCGTCTGCCTGATATCTGCTGGTCCTTAGAAACCAGGCCTTAACACGAGCCAGGCAGGTATGCTCTGCTACTCCGCCCCCGGCCGAGCTGCCCCCTTGGGGTGGCTGAGGCAGCCCATTGATAGTTCCCTCTATTAATGACCCAATTTGTAATTTCAAAAGGGAAAGCTTCATCTTGAGTCTCAGGGCTAAACTCATCATTCTCTAACTCTTGCTGTTGCCATGACATTCCCGGAGGGCACAAGTCTGATGACAGTCCTACGAGAGAGTAAAGTGTCTCTCTGAGACGGCTGTCCTCTTGAGTACTACCTTCCCTGTGAAATGGGTACAGAGCTAAATATAACGGGTCAAACTCCTTCCTTGCAGTGTTGCACCTTACAATGTGGCCCAAATTTTCTCCAGACGAGAAAAAAGCATGAGGCTTGGTGTCTAAAGACAAGGTTCAAGTCCTAGCCTTGGTAGCAAGTTCTTTGAACAAATCCTCTCTCTCTGGGCCTCGGTCTTCCTGTGGTGTAGGTGGGTGTGAAAAGTGGAGTTAATAATAATACCTGTTTAACCTATTTTGAAGGGCTGTTGTGGATGAGAAAGCCTAGACGTGTTACCTCAGCTGCTCGGTGTCCACCTCCTCCTCGTCCCTCCACCTGCCCAACCCAGGTGCCTTCTGGGGGGTGCCTTACCAGGTGACACAGAGTAGGAATAACCTGGAGTTCCCAGCAGGTGCCCAGCAGAGTTGCTGTGTTGTCTGGCATTTCTGTAGAAGACAAAAACCAGTCACTGTCAGAAATAAACGAAGCACCCGTGGGGACAGCCAGCCCTGGACTGCGCCTGGCTCACACGGCTGTGCCCTCCAGGTGCCAGGCAGTCCCCTCTCCGTAACTGGGGTGAATGGTGCCAAATGGGCGGCAAAGAACGGTCTGTGAGAAAATGGCTGTGGGAACCAGGTCTGTGTTCCCCAGGGATGCTCCTTGGCATCAGTGTGCCCAGCAGGACGAACTGTACAGACTCAGGGAAAAGTAGGAAGAGCCTGGAATTTGGTGGCCAAACAGGTATGTTTAAGCCCCACTACATATTTGGGGTGTGACCTTGGATACACCTCTCTGAGCATGTCTCCTCCGGTGACCAACTATAGACTTTTTTGGGCATATGTCAGAGAGCTGAGTAAACTATCGTGACCAGGGTTTAGAACCCTGTAGTCATTTTTAACTCTTTTTTTTTTTGTACGTGCCCCTAGCGGGAACCAAACCTAGGACTCTCTGGTCCGCAGGCCGACGCTCCAACCGCTGAGCCAAACCGGCCAGGGCCCTGTAGTCAGTTTAGGAGAAGAATGCAACGTGGCCTGATGAAGGGATGGCACAGCGGACACCAGGGACCCAGAAAGATTCGGTCAAGCCCCAGGGAAAGGCCGTCCAGGTCAGTGCTGTTCAACAGGGATTCTAAACACCTCCCAGTCCCTTCAAGGACTCACTCCCTCGGGACACAGCCTTTGAGCTGAAAAGGCAAAAGAGTCACCTGCTGAATCATCTGGCCCAGGGGCCACCAATGAAATCCCTCCGCCTCCTGCATTCATTAGCACCTTATTTATAAACAGGTGTGTCACCCAGGCTGTGACCTAGCAGAATACGATGAACACGTCCATTCCCAACAGAAGGCTGGTAGAGGATGGGGTGGCCCCAGGGGGTAATCCTGCTAGAGAACCCCTGAAATTGCATTGAGATGTTGTTTGTGCCTTTGCTTACAATGAGGGGCCACAGTTTTCAAGGCTTCTCAAGGAAGCCTTTATCCCAAATCCGAAAGATAAGACAGGGGCCTAGTGGAAAGGTCACCTGGGACATGATGAAGTCCTGGCTGGGCCTGTCACAATGACTTGCTCGTGCACCCACCCCCTAATTTTTCAGGAGGTCCCTGAGTCCTCTTTCGCTCAGGTGGTCATTCACTGTTTTGAGCAGGGTGCTAGGGCCACGGGGAATGAAAGAACAGCATCTGCTTTACAAAATCTACCAACTAATTTTATTTTACTAATTTCCTTGAGGGTGAGACTGGTTTTCTACCTCATCATGGAGCGGTGTCTAAAACGCAGCACTCAGCATAGGCTTGTTCGCTGTTTCTCGAATGGAAATGATTTATTTGTATTGTTCTTCCTTATTCTGACTGTTTTACAAGTGAGGCCTGGGGCATTCGGTCTGAAGGTCCGAGTGGTACAGGAGGCAGGCCAGAGGCTGGGGCTCGAGAGCTTGAAACAAGTTCAACACAAGGAGGCCAGTACAAGACGGTGACATAGATCCTGAACTCACCTCCTCCATGGATGTACCAAACCCACGCGGAAGCCGGTAGGAAAGGCGAGGCACTCTCGCCATAACCCCCACCCTCTGCTTGGAACTCACAGCCGGGAGCACGAAGGGTTAAACCCGACACTGGGCTCCCACCTACACCAGAGAGACAAGCTCCCCCAACACCCAGCTTTGAGCGATTAGGCAAGAAAAATAAAAGGCATTCAGATTGGAAAGGAAGTAAAGATGTCACTGTTTGCAAATGATATGCTATTATGGTCAAGTCCTTAAAACTCTATTAGAACTAATACATTCAGTAAAGTTACAGGATGCAAAATAAGTATGCAAAAATCTGTTGTGTTTCTATATACTAATAACAAACTATCAGAAAGAGAAATTAAGAAAACAATACCATTTAAATTTGTGTCAAAAAGCATAAAATACCCAGTAATAAATTTAACCAAGGAGGGGAAATAGCTATACACTGAAAACTAGAAGACATTAATGAAGAAATTGTAAAAGACACAAATGAATGGAAAGATATTCCATGCTCATGGACTGGGGGAATTAATACTGTTAAAATGTCCTTACCACCAAAAGCAATCCCTATCAAAATTCCAATGGCATTCTTCATAGAAGTGGAACAATCAATCCTAAGATTTGTATGGGGCCACAAAAACTCCAACTAGACTAAGGAAGCTTGAGAAAGAAGAACAAGCTGGAGGCCATATGCTCCCTGATTTTAAACTATATTGCAAAGCTATAGTAATCAAAGTAATATGGTATTGGCACATAGACAGACACACGGATTAGAATAGAGTGCCTAGATTAAACCCAAGTAATTTATGAGGAAGGAACCAAGAATATATACAAGGGGGAAAGGATAGTCTCTTTACTAAATAGTGTTGGGAAAAATGGACCACTACCTTACACAAAATTAATTGAAAATAGATAAAAGATTTGAACATAAGACAGCTCCTTGGCAATGTTTTTGGATTTGATACCAAAAGCAGCCCACTCAATGGGAAAAAAAATATCTGTAAATCACCTAATAAGAGGTTAATATCTAAAATATATAAAGAACTCGTATAATTTAATAGCAAAAAAATAGGCAGAGGATATAAATAGATATTTTTCCAAAGACAACAACAGATGACCAGGCGGTACATAAAAAGGCATTCGGCATCATCAGAAGTTCAAATCAAAACCACAATGAGATAAATGGAGGCAAGGATGTTGAGGAAATCTGTATGCACTGTTGGTGGGAATGTAAATTGGTGCAGCCTCTTTGGAAAACCGTAGGGAGGTTTCTCAAAAAATTAAAAAAATAATTACCATATGATCCAGCAACTCCAATTCTGGGTATATAGATCCAAAGTAAATTAAACCACCAACTCAAAAAGATATATGCACCCCCATGTTCATTGTAGCATTACTTACAATAGCTAAGATATGGGGGAAAAAACCTAAGTATTCACCAATAGATATACATTGGAATAGTATTAAGCCATAATAAAGAAGAAAATCGTGCCATTTTTTTTCCTCCTCACCCGAGGACATTTTTTGCATTTACCTTCAGATAGAGTGGGAGGGAGGGAGGGAGGGAGGGAGAGAGAGAGAGAGAGAGAGAGAGAGAGAGAGAGAGAGAGAGAGAAACATCGATGTGAGAGAGATACATCGAGTGGTTGCCACCTGCACAACCCCAACCGAGGCTGGGGACAAACTGCAACCGAGGTACATGCCCTTAGTGGGAACCAAACCCAGGACTCTCTGGTCCACGGGTCGATGCTCTAACCGTTGAGCCAAACTGGCCAGGGCTCAATAAAAACATTTTAATTAAAATATGGGCATGTAATGTACAACATGATGACTTTAGTATTGTATATTTAAAAATGGCTAAGAGTAAATCTTCAAAGTTCTCAATACAAGAAAAGGTTTTGCAACTATGTATGGTGATGTATGTTAAGTAGACGTTGTGATCATTTTGCAACATACAGATATTATGTTGTACACCTGAATCAATATGTTATATGTCAATTATGTCTCAATTAGAAAACAAAAGTTAAGCCTATGAAGCCAAAACTGGTGTTATTATGTAGAGAGCTGGAAGTAGGCCTCGAGAAGAGGCCGTTTTTTTCCGTTCCAACACTGTCCCCGGAATCTGGAGAGGAAGGGGCTGGGGATTAACAGGAGCACCAATGAGACCTCAGTTCAGAGAGGCCCAAGGGCACTGCTGGCTTAGAAACAGGCCGCGCGTATTTTCGGCTGCACTTCGAGATGTAAGGACCCCTCGGCTCCCAGCTCAGCAATAGCAGCTGAGTCTCCTGTCACGGGGCAGCGCCAGGGGGCCGCCTGAGTGCGAGGACGCAGAGAGCTGCGGGCGTGTCCAACCCGCTGTGGTGCACGCAGGGCGCTGGCGCGGACCAGCCTCCCCCAGAAATGGTTCGGTGCGTGTTCCAAAGGGCTTCGCGCGGGCTGGTGAACTCGGGCCTGTGGCTCAGCCACAGGCAGTGCCTGCGCTTCAAGACCGTCTGATCCACTGACCTCAACCCTGGGAAAGGCTCTGTCTCACGTCCTGTCCCAGCCGAAACTTCCATCTGACTTGGAACAAGACAGCGCGCGCGCACGCGTCGGCGTATAGGTCTGGGAGCGGCGTTCTCGTTTTTCATTAGAAACTGGAGACCCCTAGGCCTCTGTTCCTGTGCGGTGCAGGGGGAAACCGTGACTGCATCAGGGACTCGGTGCCCTGACTAATACCCCCTTAAGGGAAGTTGGGACCAGGAGATGGGCCGACTGCCCGTCGTGCCTCCCTGAGAAGTTTCCTCCTGCAGGAGGACCCCGGAGAGCAGAGCCTCCAGCGTGGTGGGCCGTGGGTGGGGGGCGAGAAGCGACGGGGCGGCCCGGCTCAGGGCTCGCGGTGGCCGTGCCCCTGGGGGGCCATCTCAGGACCCCCGAAGTTGTGGAGCTGCTGAGCCAGCACCCCATACTCCTCTGCTCCTCCCTGCGCTACTGGCTGCAACGGTTGGGGCGGTAAGTTTGCCAAGAGGAACAAGAGGATCAGAAGGACCAAAACACTGGAGGAGGGAACAGCTGCCAAGCGCAAGCCTCTGCCCCCAGCACTGCCGGCTCACGTGTGACTGGCAGGTGTGTTTTGGGAGCAGCTTTCCTGTGCTGGGAGGGGAGAGGGAGGCGCTGGCAGCACGCCGGCCGCCACGCTTGGCGCTAGGACTTTTCATGGCAACCTCGTGACCGTCCACTGCCCTGCAGTCTACCCTCCCCCTGCTGCCGAAACGGGGGAACACAGGCGCCACCCTCCCCCGTGGTCAGCAAAGCGATTTCATAGCCACGGTCTTGCTGTTTTCCGTACCTGCCAGCGCGCTGACCAGGAAGTAGGCCGTAGAAAAGAGCTGCTGCTTGCTGCCCGCACCCTCCAGGCCCAGACGTCCGCCCTGCACACTGCACCCCACCAGCTGCAGGAAGGCCGTGAGGTTCTGCCTCTGTGGGGGCTTCAGCTCCCCCAGTGTCGCCAGTGAGGGTGACAGGCCACAGACCACGTCGTCACACTGCAGGAGAGGAGAAAGGGATAGTGTGATGAAGCCAGAGGCCAAGCTGGGTCCTCTGACCCACCCCGTTGCAAGCCCTACACTGCTCTCTGTGCTTTGGAGTGTAATCCTTCAGGTTAGATTCCTCGCAAGGAGACAGTCGACTTGAAAAGGACTATTCTTTAACGGGGCGGGGCAGGGCGGAGCACGCAGGAACTATTGGGTAGAATTTTCCAGGACAGGGTCTGTCCGGTGGGACCAGGGACCAGGAATACGTGACTACTTGCAGAGCCGAGGAGGGGAACATAAAGTCATCACATCATGGTTCCTGAGGTTTAAACTTGGCACTCCAGCCCCTGCCACATTCCCCACGGGACCTAGGGCAGCCTCATCCATCAGCTGGGGACCTGCTGGGAGGTCTTGCCTGCAAGGCTGCCTGGCACCACCGCGGCACCACCCTGGCACTACCCCTGCTCCACTGTGGCCTCCACGTCCAGTTGCATTTGTATGAGAGCCCAGCAGCCCACCACCCAGGCAGCCGGTGCTCTTTCCCTGGGGTGCTGGTCTGACGTTTCCCTCTGGGAAGGTGGCATTTTAGGAATAGAAGTCTGGGTTTTTTCCAACATCTGTGTTCTCCTGGGCTAGCACTCCCTGCCACGAGCTCTCTATCCTCCAGAACATCAGGATGTCCTGGCTGTTGGACCGTTTCAACAACTGCTGGTTTCATCACTGGTCACTAAGCTCTTTTGACACAATCCAGTTTTCGGAGAGAAAAATAATTTGAATGCACTCCTGGAAGCCATAAAGCATTAAATCAGAACATCAGAGTTCAAACTCTGCATGAAAGAAAAACAAAAAGATCAAAAACAACACAACTACAGCAAAAATTAGGTTTATAGCTCCCAGCATCCTCCAGAGCAGAGAGTCGGGGGGGGGGGGGGGGGATGGAGGCTGGTAGCTGGCCTGTCCCTCGCCATTTCTACAACCAGGAGTTAAGGAACTCAACCTCCCTAGAAAATCCTTCTGCTGCAAACAGAAAAATACAAAAGCCTGCTTTCCCATCTGTCCTGAGTCAAATAGGTTGGCTTGTTGGACTCTACCACATAGCCCCCTTCTACTGGGTTGAGCAGTGACCCCACCCACCCACCCAAACACACATCTACCTGGAGCTTCAGAATGTGGCCATATTTGGAAAAAGAGTGTTTGCAAACGTAATTAAGGGAAGGATCTTGGGATGAGATCCTCCTAGGTTGAGGGGGGCCCTAAGTGCCCTGGTGGATGTCCCCTGAGAAACAGAACAGAGAGGAGAAGGCCACAGGAAGACAGCACACACGGGAGCGGCCACAAGCCAAGGACACCAGGAGCCACCAAGGGCTGTAAGAGTCAAAGGGGGGTTCTCCCCTGAACCTGGCCCTGCTGACACCCTAGCTTCAGCCTCTGGCCTCCAGAACTGTAGGAGAGTCCATTTCTGTGCTTTTAAGCCAAGAAGTGTGTGGTCATTTCTTACAGCGGCCCTAGAGAATTGATACACACTTGAGATTCCTGACATCGGCTACCTTCCTGCAGTTAGAAAACTAAGGACCTGGGAGTAAGACTAAAAAAGAAGCTTTAGGGTTTGAGGGAAGTGGGGAAATTTTAAACACGATTGTATCCCCAGCTCAAAGCCTTGTCCCAATAGGTCCGGCCCATCCACATCTCCAGGACACCAAGAGGGAGACACCGCGCCTCGGGATGTCGCTGGTCTTACCACTTGTTCCAGGACCAGGAGCAGCTCCTCATCAAACAGCACCGCCTGGAGGACGCCGCTCAGCGCCGTCCGCTGCTGCTCCGGCAGCTGCACAAAGGGGTGGAAATTCCTCTCCAGGGGCAGAGTCGCTGTGGAAGCAGCAGACACGCCGAGCTCAGGACGGCTGTGCGCGCCTCAGAACAGGGACGGCAGACTGTCCCCTGTTCTTCCAGACTCACAGCCAGTCGTAGAACTCGGAACCGAAGGACAGCGAGTGCAATCCCACCCTGCGTGCTTTTATAACCAGTCAAACTACTGGGGGGGGGGGGGGCAGGGGTAGAACAGGCGCTGCCCCACTTCCTTTCAGACGTCTCTCTGTTTTCTGGACTCACTACAACATGAAGTCTAATCGATTACTTTCCAGAAAAGTCACCCAGGTTCCTCTTTCTATAGAAGGAAATCGTCAAGGCCGAATTACTGAACATCAGTACATTTAACAATTCAGAGCCATGCAAATTGCAAAATACATTCTTTTAAATCCTTTCTTCTAATACACGGTGGGTTCTGCGTCCTGTAGTGTGTAACGCATGCACTTCAGAGGGGCTGGCACCCCGTTTTCACGGCAAACAACTGCTCTTGGCCCCCTTTCCTCTCCGCTGCCCCCGACCTGCTGGCTCACACCCTCTGCAGCGTGCTTGGGCCTCTCTCCCTAAAATCATCTTCTTCTTTTTTTTTTTTAAAGCCGAAAGCTTGTAGTAAGTCAAGCCCAGTGGGGATTTAAAAGCTTTTGTATGTAGGGTGCATACTAATACATAAACGCACTCCTTCTGCTGATGGCAAATTCCAGCCGAGGTTTGTGGACAGCCCCCTGGGGAGGAGCGTGGCACATCAGTAATGACTTATCCATACGCTGCCTTAGAAGCACAGCCAGGTCTTTGCTGCCCCAGCCTGCAGGGCCGAGCTGTCCTGGTGGGTCTCGGGTCCCAGGGCACCAGGGCCAGGCCAGCCCCACCCGACTCCTGCCTCCCTACTCTTAACCCCCAGCTCCCTGGAATGGCCAGCCTGCGGGACAGACGGGGAGGGACGTTCCAGGAAAGCTGCAGCCCAGACTCTGGTCGCCTCCCTGTGGCACAGGTCAAGGGCCACGGCTGCTGTGCCTCTAACGTGACGTCACCGGTGCTTAAGTGAGAGCGCAAAGTGGCACCCAGTTACCCACCTGCAGGAGGCGGGGGAGGGGCCTGCCTGAGACAGGGAAGCCTGACCATAGGCTGGCCTTTCGCTCCATTCCTTCCAACACTATTTTTGCTACAGAAACAAATGCATCTTCTGGCTTGGGACCCACTGAAGCCCCACTGGTGGGCCTAATGCTGACCCTTCAAGCCAGAGCATATTCCGAGCTGCTCCGGGCTCTTGGTACTAAGTTCTCACACAGCTCTTTGTTTCTCCTCTTCTTTGCTCATTTCCTATATTATACAACACTACTGCCCTCCTCACCCCCAAAAATCCCACCAACTTTTAAAACCACTCTGGGGAGCAGAAGGGATCGCTGTAGGCGGCACAGGTCATCCGTCCCCTTGCCTCCCGGATGCCAGGGCACCATATGGCCTCAGGCCATGTGGATAAAGAGCCTCCAAGAGACATCTTGCAGTGCTGACAAAGCCTTGCCTGTCTTGGCAAAAGCCTGGAACCTAATGAAGCAGATGCGGAACTGGCTGCTGACTAGCTATTCTTGGGGTCTGTACGGCTTCTATGGTTACGGAGAGAATGCCAGGCCCCTGCCTCGTACACGCCTCGGTCTCCGGCCCCTCTCTCAAAACATGGCCCCCAAGACTTGGGGTGCCCTAATATCCGAAAAGGTGAATCCTGAGTGGACTAGGCCTGCTTCGGAGGCACTGTCCTCTCTGTTCTCAAATGCTTTCTGTGAAGTCACTGGAGTCACCGCTCCTGAGGGCCACATCATCTCGGGGTACAATGGTCAAGTGGCCATCAGCTCCCCATGCCCCACCCTGCTGGCATTACCTTGTTTTAAAACACTCAGTGGTCCATCTGGAGCAGACGGCACCTGCCCGCCGTCTGGCATGTCCCGAAATGCAAACTCTCGAAAGGGCAGGGTCTCCAGGAACATAGCGTCGCTGTCGCTTCTCCTCTCGCGCTCAAAGCCACCATGCTTCCCTTGCAGGAGGCAGAGTTCTGCAACCCAGGAGAAGAGTCCAGGTCCACACGGATCGACCCGGCTTTCCCTGACTCGGCTGGGCAGGGAGGCCGACCACCCCCCACCCCCAATCAACCCGCTTCCTGCACACACCACGCTGTCTGATCAAGACTCATCTACTTCCCCAAACACAGGAGAAGTGGTTCTTAGCGTGAGACCCTCCTGTCCTCTTCGAACAGGCTGCGAGTGATCCTGCACACATCAGAAGTCTTTCCTTAGCCTGAACCTGACAGGCCAACTCTACACAAACAGAACTCACCAAATGTGAATGGGACGGAGGACATTCGAATTTGATCTGACTGCGCTGATGGTCATACAGAATCACTGACGCTATACTTAGGGGCACACGTGGTTATGGTGCCCGGTTCTCTTAAAGAAGAGTCAGCCTTGCTTCATTAATAAATGGAATGCATAGCAAAACACACGAACTTATTTCTGCAATTGTATGAATGAATCTCAAACATGCTGAGTGAGAAATCCAGACACAAAATATATTCTACTGGAAGCCGTGTGAAGGCAAAACTACTCTTTTTTAAAGCCTAACTTTTAGAGATACTGGAACATTGTAGAGAGAAAACAATAGCCGGCCTAGGATTTGCTTCGAGCGGCTGAGTGGGGGTGGGGCAGGTGCCCAGCTTGCCTGTGAGGCAGGAAGTTGCCTCATTCCTGGAGCGGGAAGCACATGCGGATTCGTTACCTTATTATCCCTCCTTCTGAACGTATGTGAACTGTCCCATAATAAAAACATTTCCTTATGTACTTCCACATTTGAGAACCCAACTGAGGGATCTGAATCGTAGGTAAAAATGTGGCCATTCTAATGTCCTTGCTGAGCAAAAGCATAAATGACCTCGTGACTTGGGGTCCTTTCTGTGCTGCTGAATCGTCCATGTGCACAGGCTGCGGATAAGACCTGAGCCTGCGTGTGGTGTGGGAGGCAGGGGCAGAAGCACGTTCACGGGTTTGTGGGCACTGGTGACATTCCCAGGGGCAGAATGGCTGAGAGACAAATGAAACAATCCTTCATTTACTCGCCCATGGACCCACGGAGCACCCAGGGCGCCCCCACCCCAGCTCGCTCCACCCTTTGCACCAGGCACCGAGGTGGGTCAGGGTAGACCTCCCCAGGTGGCGACTTCACTCCCCGAGGACAGGGACCATGACCATTCACACAGCCTCAAACCCGGCCGAGCGCCTTGGCCCCGTGGTGTCTCAGGAGTCCATGGCACCAGCACTCTAGCCGGGGCACGTCCCCGGGGATGCACTGCCAGCTCCTGCGTTCTCCACGCTGCTGGGGCCAGAGATTCAAAAGGGCCTTGGCCAGCAGCTGGCTGCTGGGGCGGGCAGTGCAGGGGTGTTGGAGGAGGCGGGCGGGCGCTGGAGCCGGTGGCAGGTGCAGAGAGAGAGCCCGCCAAGGTTTCTTGGACAAAGCAGTGTCGAAGTAGCCGCCCAAAGGTTCAGCAGGAGTTAGCCGGCCAGAGGCACCGAGCACGGGCTTGGAGGTAAGAGAGTGGAGTGTCCTGGACGGTGACAGGACCGGACACGCCGGGGCTGGGCCACAACGCACGTGGGAGGCTTTATCTTGGGGCACAGGGCGCCTCGGAAGGGTGTCTGAGCAGGTAAGTGACATGACCAAATTTTTATCTTTAAATAATCACATTAGCCACAGTGCTGGGATGGAGGAGACGGGGAAGGTTCAGAGAAGCAGCGAAGCCAGTCGGGGCGGGGGGTGCAGTTGGTGAAGGAAGGGGTCGTGGCTGAGAGAGCCCCTCCCGAGGGCGGCTGGACAGATGCCTCCCCCGAGGAACGGAGGGAGGCGGCCTCCTCGCAAAGTTTCAAAGGGCGAGCAGGATGCTAGTCAAGTGTCCCCCCACCCGGAAGGGGGGAGATCAGGCAGGCTTTTCGGGGCCCTTCCGGCCCTGCAGGCCTGTTTGTGAAGCCAGATCAGAACAGTCTGTGGCGAGAGGGACAGGAAACACGGGCGGGAAATAAAAGCAGAACTGGCTTCAAAGCAGCCGAGCGGAGGCCGAGGGCCTGGCCGCCAAGCTGCTCAGCGGCCAGCCCGGGGCCCAGTGGGCACAGCGGGCTCTGGGTTCGCAGGATGGGAGCCTCAGAGTCCCCAGGGCACCTCTGCTCAGCAGCACAAAGGAGTTTGTTTTCAAAGACAGCGGAAGCAAGCTGAGATGAAAGGCTTGAAATTGAAATGCAAACAGGAGAGTCCCACCAGGCCAGGCTGTGTCTTCCCAAATCCATCTGAGGAAGGAGGGACAGGTGCCCACAGAGGGCAGGGAGGGCACCCACCTCCTCAGAGAAACAGGAAGGTTCCCTCGGCCCCCTGGCCTGGCCCCAGCCACCGAAAGGTCCTCACAGCACCCATGAGCACCCTCGGGTGCAGGCCATGCTGGCCAAGTGACACCTGGACCATCAATGCGTCTGCACAGAACCAAGGAGTCCACATCCCGGGCTGGATCCCCGTTTGTGTGTGGTATCACGGCTTCTCATTACTGATGACAAAAACAACTCTCTTCACGCAGTTTAGTCAGTAGACAAACGGCTTTCAAAGAGAAAGAATAAAATAGTAGCCCAGCCAGTGTGGCTCAGTGGGCTGAGCATCATCCCATGGACTGAGAGGTCCCGGTTCAACTCCTGGTCGGGGCACATGCTGGGGTTGTGGGCTCGATCCCCAGCAGGGGCCGTGCAGGAGGCAGTCGTTGGATGTTTCTCTCTCACATGATGCTTCTCTCTCTCTCTCTCTCTTTCTCTCTCTCTCTTCCTCTCTTTAAAAAAAAAAATCAATAAAACATTTTTTAAAAAAGAATAACATAATAAAAATGACCAGGATAACAAATTTGCAAACGGGATCGAAATGATGTAGGTTCCAGTCCTTGGTGTCATGGATTCCATGTGTCCCTGTCCTAGCTCTTCAGGCCAACTCCTTACAGCTGCCACCCCTGGGAAGGCCACCCTCTGGGAATGACACCCCCTGTATACCACACACACACACACACACACACACACACACAGACCCCTCTTCTTACAGCTGCCACCCCTGGGAAGGCCACCCCCTGGGAATGACACCCCCTGTATACGCCACACACACACACACACACACACACACACACACACCCTCCTGGGGAATGCAGGCAGCTCCGTGTGTGAAACCAAAGAGGGAGGCTCCGGGACCACGCTCTGTGCCTCCAGCACCCCTCTCCCAGGTCCCCCCAGGCCCAGGAGCTTGTCGATTGTCCCAGAAGGACAGTCAGTGTTCTGAGTCTGTGGCTGTCACAGTGGTGGGGACGCGTGTGGTCTCCGTCAGAAGGCTGGCTCCCACAGACTTCCTCATCCCGAGCCTGGCCACGCCCCCCGACAGAACCCCCGGGGCTGTGGGGCAGCCACAGCCCCCTGCTCGGTCTGGGGACGGCGCCCTGTCCTGCACATCACGTGCCAACCTGGAGCTGCTCATGGACTCACAGCGAACCTCCACACACCCACCGACCAGCTTGACCCCTGCTCTTGACCTCTTCCCCCCCCCCCCACAGGTTACTTCCCACGCGAACTACAGATATCACCCCTTATCCGGTGAAGACAAAGCTCTATGTAGATGTCTCTTTTATAAACATAATCATAATGTTGCCGCACCTGAAAAGGTCAACAGTTTATGTTACGTGCATTCAGTCATGTCCCCAAGAAGCAGTTTCTTGGACTCGACACGGTGTCTTCTCAGGAAGAGCGCGGGGGACCACGCACACCTGAGAGAGCAGACACGCCCGAAGTAAAGCCCTTGTTGTCTCCGGAGGATGCAGTGGCCAGGACCAGCCGCCTCACACACACTGGTGATCGCAGAGCAAGGTCAAGAGCAGGGTTTGGGGTGGGGGTGGTGAAGCGAGGAGGAGGGTGATATCAAGAGCTGAGGTGGGGCTCTAAGGAAACGGCCACTGTGCCAGGCACTCCTCCTGCCTCCTCTACTTAGTCTTCCCTCCCAGCGACGGGAGGGGCTCAGCGAGGCTTAGGACTGCGGGCACCGGGGCTGGTCCCAGTGTTGCACTGGTGAGACCTCACCCCACCCGTTCCCAATGCAGCCTCTTGTCCCCTCGTTATGGGACAGCCCCAAACTCTTAGGGTCTCTCGCGTCGCCACCCCCAAAGCGGTGGGGATCCTCTACCAGTGTGTGCCCCTCCTCTCCCCACAGCCCCTAGCAGCAGACAACACTCACCAAACAGGCCGTCCAGTTTCACGTACAGCTCGATGACGCCGTAGGCGATGGTGGTGGCAGCCGGGATCTCCAGCACCACGTTGCTGTCCTTGCTGATGGTCCCATCCTCCGTAGCTGACACCTGTGGGCGACAGCACACACTCTGACCTGCGCACTCAGACTCTCCTGGGCGCCCCCACCCCCGGAACGCATGGAGAGGAGGAGCCAGCCGGCAGAGGTAAGGATTCCATCCCCATTGGCCTCGTGATGTGCACACATAGTCCCAAGTGAATGGCCAACCGGTGGCACAAAAGAGATCCCAGGGTTTGGGAAACAGTGAAGTTGGGTCTAAGAAGAAAGTATGACAAATAAGTTCCCATTTCCTCACAGAGGATTACGGAAACTGCTCTGAAGTCCCGATGAAAACCCTAACCAGCATCAAAGCCTGAGGGAGAACTGAGCTGAGAGAGAACCCCCAGCCATCGTTCCAGACCCTGGGGTGGGGGCGCCCTGTGCTGTTAAACCAGGGAGGCTGGAGGCCGGAGCGAGGACGAGAAGGCCGGGCAGGAAGTGCCCCGAAGTCAGGCACCAACGCTCTCTCCTTCCAACACCGCCACAGACACGAAGCTTTCCCACGGCCTGGGGAGACTGAGGCACACTCTCCTTGTTGCCCAAACACTGGAGATCAGATACGTTTCTGAGCAACTTGATCCTGGTCAGAGTGGAATGGCAGCCAGCCTGCTGACTCCCAGGCGGGCTCTGGGTCTCGGGTGGGGTCACCATGGGTGGAGACATTGGGGGGACCAGTGGCAGCCATCTCTCACTGGGCACGTCCCTTGTCACTGCTGTCTAGCCCGCCCAGTCTGTACACCAAGGGACAGCCCGGCTCCAGATCTATAGCTCTACCTTCTTCCGAGCACACCTTTCCTGGGCCTCAGCAAATGCCAACAGTTACCCCAAGAAGGAGGCCCGTACAAATCAAGTATCAGGCACCATGACAAGCTGGAGGGGAAACAGCATGGGTTTGACAGCCTTTACTGGTCCACCACTTTGGTACCGGCTCAAGGTCAGCTGGGTAAGACTGTCTATAATGTAATCCAGAGCATCTGCTTATGCACAGACAGACAGACAAACAGAGGTACAGATCCTTCCCTTCCCTGACTCAATCTGCAAAGGACTTGAAGCAGCGAATCCCAAAGCCATCCTGAGGCCCCGACTCCAGGGTCTGCAGGATGATCTGTGCGTTTGGCCTGGCCTGTGCTCGTTCGACCCCTTTTCAGTGGGGAATATGCCTGGCCCTAGCTGGTGGCGTGGCCAAGGGGAGTCCCACTGCCCTGGCCTGGGGTCCACCTCAGGAAAGGGCAGCCCAGGATGGTGCGGTGAGATCCAGGCCGGAAGCTCTCCCCCTGGGGTCGCAGCAGGTGGGAAGACAGCCTGGAGCTACTGCACCCAAGGAGAAAGGAGAGAGCCTGTCCGAGGGAGTCCATCCCGGGAGGCAGCTCGCAGCCCCCTCGGAGTCCCGGATCCAGTAGTCACCACAGCTGGCTGAGCCCTGAATGCTTCGATTACAGGAGCCAAGCAATTCTTTCTCGTTTAAGCCGACTGTACTTGCACTTCCTTAAGTTGCTACACAGAGTCCTGATGAATGAAGACACCACCCAACCAGGACCCTCCCTGACCAAGGTTCTCGGCTAGAACGAGAGAGGCCACTGTGGCCCGCGCCTCCGCCCGACTGTGCACACCTGCACAGTCTTGGTCTGTATCCCCACCATGCCGCCGCACTTGTCCTCGACCTGGACGTGCTCGGATATCACGCACTTCTGCGTCGTCACGATCTTCTGTGTCAGGACACACAGGACCTCGTTCTGCCTCTCCAGCACCTGCTGCAGCACAGGGCTTTTCAGATTGATCGTTCTGGAAAAGAAAAGTGGCCGTGAGTGGCCTCGGGCCCTGGGACCTGGCGCCGCGTGAGTGTCCTCCTCACACAGCTGGTGGCTGAGCAGTGAGCAGGTGACAGCCAGCATCTTTTATTTCCTGGCGATGAGAGAAGGGGCAGTTCATCAGTAAGGCATGGGCCAGACCCCCCCCCCCCCGGGGCCGCCTGGGAGCTGCCAGACCTCCGGAGACAGGCTGGATGCCAGAGGGAGGGGCCCTGCCGAAAGCAGCGCTGGTTGTCGAGGAGGGAGAGGCACCCAACCAGCACAGGAACCGAAATCCGTCTGCCTTACAGCTGGGGACTCCGTTTTGTCATTTAATCAGAGGCTGAGGGACCACAGACATCACCGCCGTGGCCCAGTAAATACAGAATTACTGTGGGGTGATGCTGGCCAGCTCCTTCTCAGAGAGGGCAGGCTTACAGGGCATGCGGCAGGGGGCAAGTTGGATTTGGGTGAAAAGGAACATCCTCACCTTTCTGTCCCAGAAGGATGAACCAACCGTCTCCTACAAAGGGGTTTCTATCATTTTACAGATAGGGATACTGAGGCCAGCAGACTCGGGGCTCCCACGAAACTACTCTGGGGAATTTCAAGAACAAGCTCAATTTCCATCCACAGAGCTGATCTCACACTTAAGAGCAAACGATAAAGAAACCTCTCTGGAGATTTCACGCTCCGAGTCTGTGAAGTGGACGGGAACAGCACCAAATGAGAGTCGGTCTTGGCATGAGAACAGTCTCAGTGTTCGTACGGGGCTGTTCAAACATTCTGAGGTCAGTTACCTTGAAAAGCTCAGCATCACCCCTAACCACACGGTGGAGGGTCACCCTGCCTGTCCCCCCGCCCCGCTTCAGGCAATCAGACTCTCCAGGCTTCAGAAAGTACCCCCAGAACTGCAGTGAGCGTCTGGAAAGGTCTTGTCTCCACGTAATTCTGCCTGGAGTGGAAACAATGTGTCCTTCAGCAGAGAATGGCAGACGATGTGTGTCCGATGTGTGTCTGCAGAAGGGGCATTATTCACACATGACAGTCCCGAGGCATGCTGCAACATGAACAGACCTCACAGACATCATGCTGAGTGCAGTAAGCCAGACACAAAGGACAGACATTGGGCGATTCCGCTTCTGTGAAACATCTACTCGTATGAACATCCAGGCAAATTCATGGCGACAGAAAGGAGATTCGAGGTAACCAACTCTGGAGGTGGGGGAATGGGGAGTTCTTGAGGTGATGAAAAAGTTCTAGAAATGAACAGTGGTGTTGGTGCCACTGAATTATACTTAAAAATAGTGTCCTGGCCCCAGTGTGGCTCAGTTGGTTGAACTGCCCTCCTGTACAATGGAGGTCAAGGGTTTGATTCCCGGGTGCTAATGGGAGGTAGATGTTTCTGTTTCTCTGTCTCTGTCTCTACCTCTCTGTCCCTTCCCCTCTCTCTGAAAATCAATGAACATGTCCTTGAGAGAGGATTAAAAAAATAATTTAAATGACCAATCTTATGTTATATATAAATATATATATATAGTTATAATAAAAAATGTAAAGACATGAAAAACTGTTCCATTTCAGAAGCAGGTCAAAGAAATGCACATTGTAACCATGTTTCACACTTATTAACTAAGTAATGAAAACAAATTGACAACAACAACAAAAAGCTTCCCAAACGCTCCATCTCCAGGAAGGCATATAAAAGGGGCTTGGAGCCTGCCCAGCTGGGGTTCAAGTCCCAGCTCTGCCCCTCCAGTCGGGTGGCCTTGAGGGAAACAGTCCAGGTCTGCACCTGGGTTCTCTCATGGATACACTGACAGTAAGGACACTTTCCTTGTGGGACTGCCATACGGTTTAGATCAGCACAAAGTTAAATGCCACACAAACGCTAGCTGACTCCAGTCACCTCCCTGTGTTAGTGTGGCCCACAAACAAAGCCACGTGCTGGGGATTATGGGCTATTTAACTGGCTTACGTTGCTCACTCGCTTAGAAGCCCTCAATGGCCACATGGCATCTCAACCGCTCCCCCAGCCCACAAGGCATCGCGACCGGCCCCGCCCCGTCGGCCCACCTTCTGCTTTCTCTGTGCCCTAAATGGGGCAGGCACGTGCCAGACCCCAGGCCTTGGCCCCAGGTGCCCCATCTCCCTGACGCTCGTCACCTCGGGGGAGGCAGGTGCTCCCTCTCACTCCTATCATGCTGTCACCCCGAAGCCGCTTCTCTGGAGAGCACAGTTCCACCTGACACTTCTCTAGCTCCTTCTTTTGCCTGTTCCTTGCCCGGCTCCTCCTAAGTGCAGCCTCCACGGAAGTCGGCTGTGCCGGTCAACCACTGCATGTCTCGGCGCAGGCCCGGGGACGGCCCCCGTCCACACCGGCTGTGCCGGCTCCGCTGCGGCGTGTCTGGGGCAGGCCCGGGGACGGCCCCCCGTCCACACCGGCTGTGCCGACTCGACCACTGCGTGTCTCGGCGCAGGCCCCGGGGACGGCCCCCGTCCACACCGGCTGTGCCGGCTCCGCTGCGGCGTGTCTGGGGCAGGCCCGGGGATGGCCCCCCGTCCACACCGGCTGTGCCGGCTCCGCTGCGGCGTGTCTGGGGCAGGCCCGGGGACGGCCCCCCGTCCACACCGGCTGTGCCGACTCGACCACTGCGTGTCTCGGCGCAGGCCCGGGGACGGCCCCCCTCCACACCGGCTTCGATACACAGTTAACTAAAACGCGTGGGTTGTTCCCTCTTCGTCGATGCGCCTCAGTGAATGTGCAAATGTCTGAACCTAGGTGCATCTGTGTGCGTGGAGAGAGGACACGTGGGCGACGGAGGACATGCGACCGGCAGCGCGGTTTAAGGAGCCACAGGCAGGTGGAAGCCTTCCTACCAGACCTGGCGGAGATGCGCGGGTACGGGACTACGGGGCGACAGCCCGTGCACCCACCACGCACAGCTCGTCTGACTGTCCTTTCGCGTGCTCCGCCGTCTACCGCACACAACCCCACCTGCCGGCAGGTCCTGAACATCGACTCCCTCGGTTCCAGACCAGGCTCATCCCCTGTGAACACACAGGAGGATCACTCTCGGCCTGCACCCCGGAACTGGGCAGGCCGCCGAGGCCGCCTGGAGGGGTCATAAGCGACTCTGGCGTGTGGAAACCACTGTGCTGCCTGAGCCTTAGCCAGAGCCACTAACACACTCGGTGCCTCAGCCAGCGGCAAAGTGTCAGAAGAAAAACAGCCTCCACCACCCAGGACTCCAGTGCTTAAGACGCCCACCTCCCTCCAGGACACCCCAGACACCAGGAGGGGGAGGGAAAGTATCCACTGCAGGAGCCTCACTTCCTTCTGCACCTGACAGGCCGGTCCTGAGCTGCTGGCAGGGCCCGCCAGGCACCCACCAGGGGGCAGGGAGCCACTGGGCCAGGGCCAGGCCCATCTCCCAGGCGAGTTCAGGGATTCCATGCATCAGGCCCCTGGGAAAGGTCTCCTGGCTGCCGGGTGGGCAGGCGATCACTGGCCAGCGCCTCTCACCTGGTGGCTGGGATTCTGTTTCCTGGGACACTGCTGCCACCTTTTGGAAACCGAGTGCTGGACGAACCTACTCACCCTCGGTTAGGAGAGGAGACCTGATAGAGACGGGGAAAGCGAACTGTCGGGAAAACAGAGTCCTGACTCTGCAAAGCAGTCTCCGAGGGGATTTCTCCACAATCCTCCTCGGCAACACCGCCGGACCCCAAGCAGCTCGTGGGGGCCACACGTGGGCACTGACCCTCCTCAGAGCAGGAGTCACTGGGCAGTGGGCCTCCCTGGGGCTCCCGGGGGGAAACCAGCCACTTCGGTGCACTTCATGTACACTGACGACCCTAGGTGGCGTTTGCACTGAAAGAGGTCCATGGTTTCTTCAGACTAAGTGGGTAACAAAGAAGTTACCCAGCTGGTGTGGCTCACCATCCCGTGGAGGTCCCAGTTCGATTCCTGGTTGGGGCACATGCCCAGACTTCGGGCTCAATCCCAGTGGGGGATGTACAGGAGGCAGCCGATTGTAGTTTCCATCTCTCTCTTCCTTTCTCTCTCTAAAATTAAAAATCAATAAAAACATTTTAAAAACTTTTTTAAAAAGTTTGGCCCTGGCAGGCTTGGCTCAGCGGTTAGAGTGTCAGGTTCGATTCCAGTCAAGGGTACATACCTTGGTTGCAGTTCATCCCCAGCCCTGGTTATTATCTTCACCCTCCCTGGGCCTCCTTCCTCCTCCATCTATGAAACCCTTAATATATGGTTTTAAACTTTTTAGTTTTAATCCTCACCTGAGGATATTTTTCTGGTTATCTTCAGGTAGAGTGGGAGGGAGGAGGAGGGAGAGGGAGAGAAACATTGATCGATGTGAGAGAGACACATTGACTGCTTGCCTCCCGCATGACCCCGACCAGGGTCAGGGACAAATCACAATCGAGGTACGTGCCCTTTGGTCTGCGGGCTGATGCTCTAACTGCTGAGCCAAACTGGCCAGGGCTAGCAATTTTTTTTTTTTTTTAATTTAAAATGTCCTTTGGACAGATTCTAAGCTCTTGGAGAATAGAGTACCCTTACCTAAGACCTATGCTGTCCACCCACTTGGTGGATAAATGAGTAAGTTCTCACAGAAATGGTAAAGGCAGGGTTAGAATAAAACTCCCTTCCCAGTCCAGCCTGGGGTCAAAGCCCACAGACAGGAGAAATGGCAGCAGCTCTTGGACCAGAAAGTGAGCAGCCAGAGGTTCCTCATCCTCTTCACAGATGTTTAAGGACCTGTTTTTAAGGACAGCCCAAACCTGGCCAGTATGGCTCAGTGGTTGAGCATTGACCCAGGCACCAAGAGGCTGCTGGTTCAATTCCCAGTCAGGGCACATGCCCAGGTTGTGGGCCTGATCCCCAGTGAGGGCATGCAGGAGGCAGCCAACTGATGTTCTCTCTCATGGATGGTTCTCTCTCTCTCTCTCCCTCTCCCTTCCTCTCCTTCTCCC